CAACAACCCCAGGATTCCGAGGTGAAGATTCGCGAGTTTGTTATCGCACTTGCAATTAGGGAGTCGAAGATGTTATTTCAGCGACGTGTGGTGAATCGTTGCCGAAAACCGTGATTTATTTTCCAATAAGATTTGGAGCACTTTCAAAGCAGTTATGCGCGACATCGACCCTCGTTTACGATCGATTTGTATATGCAAAAGAAGCATGCAGCTTATATTGAACTACACCGATTACATGTTTGAAACAAAAGGTTCGATGCAATTGATAGCCTGACTGTCCATCGTGACACAAATGATTAAATATACATTCATTTATCCACAAAATCTTTTTCTACAACAAAAGGATCAACTGTCAGTTACATCTATTGTCACTAACTGTACAAACAAAACCTTTGTCTCGGTCGCGAGTATGAGTTTTTGTAACGTCCTTAATCCTAAAATTACAATTTCCTCGATGGTGATTGGTTAAAAAAAACCCTATTTTCAACCATTTCACTTGACGTAATGTTATCGGACAGTTTCTTATCGGACAGTTTCAATAAGCCAATCACATTCAAAGTTGTAGTTTGAAAATCAACCAATCACATTGCTTTGATTGTAATCAATTTCAAAGCTACATGAAACAATTTAAACCTCCTTTGCCAGTCTTTTCATGCAATTTTTCCTTTCTTTCATAACTTGGCTCTCCTTCTTTTCTCAGAAATTGTAATTTTTTCATTAATTGGTAATAAGACTTCGTGTGGTCCAATTCGGTCTGTAATCATACTCTTGATAAGCAAATCGGACTCCCGCTACGCAGTCGTCCGATTTTGCTATCACTTGTTAGATAACAGGCTACTCAGTGCCATTTACCATTACAAAATTTTGATGTGCAACCGTACGATTACACAAGCTTGACACGTGACCGTTCACGTGAAACATCCACAACGAATTTTTGTGACGTATTACCGAGATTTTTTTCAAATATAGAAAAATAGCCTGTGTAGCGTTAGTTAGCTAATTATAACATTACTGAAGATGAAACTGCGCTGTCTCTGTGATTTCTATTTTATTTATGTCTTTGTGATTTCTATTTTATTTACGTCTCAAGCATAGCGAGAAAAGGCAGACGAAAGTTCCTATTCCAGAAACTTTGAAAAGGAAGAAAAGAACTTGCTAACTCATGCTATTGAAGTTTCTATAAATAGAGAGATTACGAAATAGTTAGAACTTTCCAGAAGATGCTAGAAAGTTTCAGAACGAGGCTCAACTACTATAAGAGTGAAGTACATGTGCTCGTCAAGCGTCACACAGAAAACGTAAGCCGCGGAATTCTGAACTAACGTTTATTATCTCCTCAGTCAACTTTTTACACCAAAGATGCCTGGAACCCCAGCTATAGGAATCGATCTTGGTACTACGTACTCGTGCGTTGGTGTAATGCAACATGGAAAGGTTGAAATTATCGCTAATGATCAGGGTAACAGAACAACTCCTAGTTACGTCGCTTTCACCGAAAATGAAAGACTCATCGGAGATGCGGCGAAGAATCAAGTCGCCCTCAACCCCACGAATACAGTGTTCGGTGAGTCTTTTTCTCTAGCGTTTTAGCTAAAATTAAACCTTAGTGCGAGAGAAATATTTTTCATTTTAAAAGTAGAAATGCTTGCGTGGGTAAAACTTGAAGGGGACGTAAGTTCTTTGTGTCCGCCATGTTGGTTTTCAATATGCTTACGAAATCATTTCTGTTCTTGCAGACGCGAAGCGTCTAATCGGGCGAAAGTATGACGAGGAGTCTGTCAGATCGGACCAGAAACACTGGCCTTTCGCGGTGAGTAATATTATCTCCGTGTAAGCTACGCCTGAATTTGTAAAACGTAAATTTGGAGTTTCCTCGGCCTCCTCGGGAAGTAGTTCGATGGTAATTGTTTTCACTTTCTTTTTCAGGTAATCAATGATGGTGGTCGACCAAAGATTCAAGTCGAATACAAAGGCGAGAAAAAGTCCTTCTTTGCGGAAGAGGTAAGCGTGTCTTAGGTTCATTCGTTTAAAAGTCACATAGGGATGGTTTTATTCGTATTGCGTAATCTGACTAGTCGTCAACCACGCGCCTTCATCGTGTTCATGTGTAATTTTTTTGTTCTCTCTTTTAGATTTCCTCCATGGTTCTGACCAAAATGAAGGAAACTGCAGAGGCTTATCTTGGGTCCAAAGTCACCGATGCAGTTGTCACTGTTCCGGCATATTTCAATGACTCGCAGAGACAAGCCACGAAGGATGCTGGTAAGCTGTCAACACGCAACGGCAATCGACTCCATTTAACCTGTTGGAAGTAGTTGTGCCTTCTTCTCTGATACTACTTTCGTTCCTCTACACTTACGTTTGTTTCCAAGGTTATAAGGAGTGGGCTTTTTGTGGGGGGGGATTAAAATTTTTAAGCATGCGTAGCGGAGATGTACAAAGTTCACCTTCCACGTGTTTTTTTGCTCTCTCATTCTCACCCACACCCTTGTGGCGGTAGAAGAAGCAAATTACGTCACGAGACCGTACGAAGAGATAAAGTAACTTAACCCTTAGCTCCTAGATTAGATTTGTAATTCTCTTCACTGTTAACCGTACTATACTTATAATGTTAATTCAGAGAATTTAGTATTGGATCAACTAATTATCCCTAAATTGATGTTTCCTTTATTCTCATCACTTATCTGGTTGATATTGTAAAGAGAAATTCTTTCTTGGTCACTTGTGGGAGTTGAAGGTATAAGTTAACTAGGCTTAATTTTAAATTCTGAAAATGATGGTTTCTTGGTGTGAAGTTACATTCTCTTAATCTAAAACGTTTCACCAATTTGGAGTGCCTAAAATCTTGAACATAAATTTTCTTCAATGATTGTAAAAGCTTGAATGATTGGCCACCTAACATGTCTTCATTGGTGTTGTGAGGAACCAGATTAAATGTTATGCCTTACAAGTTTTGTCATGATTATCGTTTATTTTGTGTCATTTTATTTATTTTCTTATGTTTTTTTTCCTCTTTTTTTCCACAAATTTTGCTTGGAATGTTTTTTAAGGTATCTATGGTTCTCCCTGTTGATAACCTTTAGCAAGAGAAACAACAACCAACTTCTGTGTTTTAAACTTATTCCATGTATTAACTTTTGTAGGAGTCATTGCTGGCCTTAATGTTCTTCGCATAATCAATGAGCCAACTGCTGCCGCCATTGCCTATGGTTTGGACAAGAATGCTGCCAAAACACAGAGCGTCATGTTCTCATCTTTGATCTTGGTGGAGGTACCTTTGATGTGTCTGTTCTTACAATTGATGATGGCATCTTTGAAGTGAAGTCAACCTGTGGTGATACCCATTTGGGAGGTGAGGACTTTGACAATCGTATGGTTGATTACTTCAAGAAAGAATTCCAGAAGAAATATAAGAAAGATATCTCAGGCAACAAGCGAGCCATGCGACGGTTGAGAACTTCTTGTGAAAGAGCCAAGAGGACCCTCTCTTCTAGTCATCAGGCCAATATTGAAATAGACTCTCTTTATGAGGGCATCGATTTCTATGAGCCATTCAGCCGTGCAAAGTTTGAAAAAGAAAATGGAGACCTTTTCCGTGCAACTTTGACTCCTGTTGAGAAGGCTCTGAAAGATGCAAAGTTGACAAAGGAAAAAATTGATGAGATTGTCTTGGTGGGTGGCTCTACTCGCATTCCCAAAATCCAAGAGTTACTCAAAGATTACTTTGATGGCAAAGAGTTAAACAAGAGCATTAACCCTGATGAAGCTGTAGCTTATGGTGCAGCAGTACAGGCAGCCATCTTGCATGGAGACAAGAGTGAAGCTGTGTCAGACCTGCTGCTTCTGGATGTGGCTCCCTTGTCTCTGGGTATTGAGACTGCTGGAGGTGTTATGACAGCACTCATCCAACGCAACACAACAATCCCAACAAAGAAAAGTCAAGTCTTCACAACATATGCAGACAACCAACCTGCTGTTTTGATACAAGTGTATGAAGGTGAACGTGGTATGACCAAAGACAATCATCCACTCGAAAGTTTGAGCTCACTGGCATTCCTCCTGCTCCTCGTGGTGTTCCGCAAAATTGAGGTCACATTTGATGTTGATGCCAATGGAATTATGAATGTTTCTGCAGTGGACAAAAGCACTGGAAAAGAAAACAAGATTGTCATCACAAATGACAAAGGTCGATTGTCCAAAGAAGACATAGAGCGCATGGTGAAAGAGGCTGAGAAGTTTAAAGACGATGATGACAAGCAGCGCGACAAAATTCAAGCCAAGAACTCTCTGGAGAGTTATGCTTACAACATGAAGAGTACAATTGAAGATGACAAAGTTAAAGACAAGATCAGTGAAGATGACAAAACGGTTATCTCCGATAAATGCAAAGAAGTCATTGATTGGTTGGATCAAAGTGATGGAGCCTCAAAGGAAGAGTTTGAGAGCAAGCAGAAGGAGCTTGAGAAGGTGTGCAATCCCATCATAACCAAGCTCTACCAGGGTGCAGGTGGAGCACCTGGTGGAATGCCTGGAGGTGGAATGCCTGGAGGACCAGGTGGCTTCCCTGGAGGACCAGGTGCCACACAGCAAGGAGAATCCTCAGGTCCCACTATTGAGGAAGTAGATTAAGTTTGATGAACTTACCTCTCCAACTTTGTTGACAGGATATGTGCACTAGCTTATACTGTTGAGAATTTAACCAGTTAACTGTTTGAGTTACTGTCTTAGCAACAGTAGTTTCATTACACTATGTATCCTGCACATGTAAGAGCCAAAGAATAAAAGGTTTTTATTCAAGAAAGACTGTGCAAGACATTTTTGGGGTCACTGTAAAATTAAAGTTTTTGGCTCATATCTGTTTTCTATGTTTCTTGAGAGCTCTGTATGTGTCCTACACATACACAATGGCACTATGAAATTGTACCACCATTGATCAGCAAAGACAGGCACATCTAAAAACCTTCTGAGTAAGGTACGTTGGCCTATGGAAATTCATCACTTCCAGAGTATATCAGGTTACTGGTAACTCAAGGTCGAATTAGTTGCAAGGAATGATAATAGCAGCATGTAGAGAAAAGTTAGTGTACCCCAGCTATTGCATCATGGAAAATTAATGAGAAAGGGTGGTGCTCCTTCACTGTGTTGGAAAGACATGTTTAACATCTTGAAGTAGAGCGCATTTAAACGTAATGCTCTGTGAGCAGGTCTCTTTTTGCATGTCACACAAAGTGCTTCTCCTTGGTATGAAATAGTTGACTGCCCATAGGAAGGTGTAAAAAGTGACTCGTAGCACTGCATCCATCAACTCCATATCTTTTTTTCTCAAATGATCACGTCTAGTAAAGCCCAGTTAAACCAAGGTCTACCTAACTATTGAAGATGGATAAATTTCTTGCTTTAGTTGCAATTCTTTCTCAATGTTTCACTCGGATTGCCATGTAAGTGGGTTAACCAGTAATGAGTGATGCGCAACTTCACCCTTATGTTAATGTCTGACTATATGACTATCCTAAAAAAACAAGTGCACCACAAAAGAAAGCAACTTTGAAAAGACAGGAAGAAAATCTGCCCACTCTGTCAAAGGTGTATGATTTTGAGGAGGTTGGTATTCTTAGAAGAGGACCCAGTCACTGTAAAAGATGACCATACATTTATGAAATTCTGAGTGAGACTAAAGTATCCATAAGAGTTAACCCAACATTCACCTCAATTCCATCCCTTGCACAAAAATCAGTAGTTTGTATATTTTGTGATTACACCTTCGTTCCTTTCATTTTGCTTCAGATTGTTTTATTTTTTTTCTCAGGACAACACATCATTTCTGAACACAGCTAAGGTATTTTAAATAGCTTGAACAACATCCTCAATGCTGTCTCTTTCATAAAAAGTGTGTTTACTCAATTGAGATCCTTTTGTTTTGTATGTTTTTTATTTTTTTTGCTCAAGAGTCAGTGAACCCTTTCTCTCCTTAGATTTCATTAAAGGTTTGCCTCGCTATCTTTCACACAACTCATGTTATTTTGGATAACTTGACATTGGATCAACAAATGATCCCCTGAATGTTGCTTTTCTTTATTCTTGTCATTTTTCTGCTTCACATTGTGTTGATATTGTAAGGAGAAACTCTGTATTGGTCACTGGGAGAAGTTAAAGAGTTAAGGTTGTAGTAGCTCAAATCATTTTGCTGGGTGTGAGAAAGTGGTCAGCAGGTGTGAGCTTCCTTAGCCCTATATTGTCAAGTATAAAGTAATATATTGGAGGATAGATATAAAAGTGCTCAGTTTTCAGGCTGCTACTTTCTGCTAGCTGTCTGCTCTGCTTTTTTCAATCTCTTCTTGAGCTCAAGAGGCATCTTTTCATAGCACTTCTTGCACAGTGGCTGCATGTCAAATTCATGAAATTTGCTCCTGCCAAGAAAAAAGGGATTATCTGAACATGTGGAAAATTGACAACTTCAAGCAATGCCATCCCTCTTGAAATTAAGATTTTTTGCGGCTTTTAAACTCATAAAATTTAAATAGGTGATGTGGCACATGCAAGATCAGAGCAAGGAGAGTTGTGATGAGATAGAAAGGCACTTGAAACACAATTATAGTCCAGTAGTGCAAAAAAAAGCCAGCAATTACTCACTTGAGATTTAAAGAGATGTTGCATCCAATGCAAGTGAAATGCTGAACACACCAGCACTTGTGAAGGGCATTTACCACTGCATAATAAAGAAACAAATTCACTAACATGAATTTTAAATTAAAATACTCTGCAAAAACATATTGTCACTAACAGTTCATTTTGGTTGGTTTGTGTTAGCTGGCGTGAGAACAATTTTTTCAATCTGCAAACAAGACCCCTGCCTGGGGTGTGAAAGCTTAAGGTTAAAGTTGAAAATTTGCTGTTCATCATTTTGTTTTGGTGGCTGTAACAACAACCTAATTTCAGAGCAAAATGGCTGTTACCAAGAGAGTTTCACCTTAGCACTACAACAGAATTCCTCAAATCTCAATGTATTTCATCTCTCTTTCTGGAAGGATAATGCTTTGGTTGATTCAGTCTGAGGGCAACTTCAATACTTAACAACAGAACCTAAAGCTTTATAAACATTGTACCTCATAGAGGCCTGAATTTTTTTTCAGGCCTTATTTTCACTATTGCCTAAATAGTGTTCATTACTGCTTTGATATTCATTTCTTAAACTGCAGTTCACACATGGTTTTCATATATTCACAGTCATTGATTATAGGTTCTGTTGTCAAGTATTGAAGTTGGCCTCAGACTGAATTAAAAAAACATCATTATGATATTGATAATGGTAATATTATAATAGCAATTATTTCTATTATCATTATCATCTTTCCCATCATCATCTTCATTATTATTAATATTATTGTTATCCTTATTTCCATTGCTATTGTTCCTCACCATCTCCAACAATAGCTTTGTTGCATTCAAAGCATACATCACCAAACAGCTGCAAAAGAAACAGGAAAATGAAGATATCTGAATCTCATAACATCATTAGGTTGTCAAAAGATTAAACCTATTCAATTAATACACTATCCTGGAACTAGTGAGTGTATTACCAAGTTGAAAATTAATGAGCTTTGTAATGATTCAGTTATATTAAACAAGAGCAAGTGAGGCAACTGCATGTTTAAGTTAAAAACTTAAAAAAAAAAAAAAGTGATCAATTTATTTTCCACCCACCTCATTGTAGTGAGTTTCACAGTAGGCCAGTCCCTTCCTTTCATAGTAACGATGTCCATAGAAAGGCTTCTCACACTTAGCACACACAAAATGCTTGGTAAAAAAAAAAAATTCTCACTTAGCATCCACAAATTTCACCTCTCTCAAAACTTTACTTTTCCAGAGAATAAATTGGACTATAACCAACAAACAAACAAATGTCACTCTTACATGTACCACAGGATACTATGAAATCCAAGTGATATAACAAGAATAATTTTGATCCCTTGGTCATATATATGGCTGAAAATCTTAAAGAGTTTGTTTACCTCAACATGCCATGCTTTTCCAAGGGCATGTACCACACGCTCCTCAACAGGCCGCCTGAGATGAAAAATGTGTCACCAATAATTATTTTAGAAACAATTTTCATATCAACAGTTAACCCTTTAACTCTCAGAAGTGATTAAAATACAACTTTGCCATATGATATCCATACATTTGGTTATCCAGCAAACAGGTGATGAGAATACCCAAACTTACAAGCAAGGGTTATCTTGATCAGACAATAAAATTTTCATAACTTATTTACAAGGACAAGGAAATTTGTAGGGTCATTTAAGTTGTTCATTGGTCCAATTTTGTCACTGTGCTTTCTTGCTGTCTTTTTCCCCTGTACCACAGAGTAATCCTAAAGCATGTTTTGCCTGTTCCAATACCCTAATATGGTAAAATGCCATTATCGTGAAATAATAATTCTTGATATTCACCTGTAGGTGGACTATTATACTCAAATTGAAAACTTAACATGAAGGTGACTTGCATTTCATGTATACTTACCTACAAGCACCACAGATTGGTGTCCCCATTTTGTCATGGCATCTCAAACAGTACAACTCTGTGTCTCGCTTGCGACATAGATGGTCCAGCTCTTTGCTGGGAAGATCATTAAGAAAAAAATGGGGAAAAGAAGCTTTTCAAAGGTGTTTCCTCACTTGCAGAACATTCCTTAAAACTATTATCAAGAAATAATTTCCATCTTTTGAATTCTAAGTTTGAATACTAATTTAAAAAAATGATATAGTAATTATCTTGAAAGTCATTAGTTACACCATTGTTAAGTCACCAGTGTTATCCTTTTCAGTTGGTAACATGTCAAATTTACTTTCTGTAGCACCTCTTACTACAGCTTAAAATTGCTTTAAAAATTCAACAGGTAAAAGGATTGTTCTATCGGTTTGAAAATTTCCTTTACTTGTCGTGCTCAAAATAAGGGAGAACACAAGAGTCACTTTAGAGTGATGCAAAAAGGGGAATTTCTGATTGATTGTCACAAAACCAAAACCAAAGGGTTGATAAGAACACAAAGTAACTACAAGAAAACTGCTTGAAGCCCAGGAAAACACAAGGGACCAGGTCACAAATTATTTTAGTTTTTATAATCTGTTTGGTCGAGAGGATGGCATAACTTTCTGGACCAGTCAAAAAGTGATGTAAAGTAAAACCATTTGAAGCAATCCTGGATTACTTTCAACACTCCATTTAAAAGTTCTACATATGAAAAAAAAAAAAAAACAATCAATATCTTACTTGCATGAGAAGCAGTTGTAATGCCAAGGATGCACAGGCTCACCCAAGTACATCAAATGCTGTCCTTCAGGAATGTAAGTACTATTGACCACAGAAACAGTTTTAGTGTCTTCAAATACATTATTATATCTCTCAGTTCCAAGTACATGTGGGCACAAAAGAAAAACGGAAACAGAGTGGATGAACAAACCATCAACAATTCACTGTATACTTACTGACACTTGCGGCACACGTATCGTCCCGTTTCTGGAGAAAACAATTTTTTTTTTCACTTTATAAGTAAGTTATAATAAAAGAAATGTCAATGAAATAAAAAAATTAGTTAAACATACATAACAATTTTCATTACAATTATTCTTCAAGGGTAAAAAATGGCAAAGTACTTGGTATAATACCCTGCAAACAAAGTTTTCTTTAAATTCTCAAGGAAGGCCAAAAAACATGCACACCATTATAACACACCATTATAAGTATTTTCTTACTTTTAGTCTTTTCATCTGCATTGCATTTCTTGCACAGTGCCCTAGAGTACAGGAAATAGTATTGGCTTGATGTAAATTGAAAAATTTACCTCTTTAACCCCCCCTACTGGTATTTCTCCCAACAGTCTCACCCCTGAATCAGAAATTAAGGTCATGAGAATACATGAAATGATTGCAAACTCAAAGAAGCTCTTGATTGTTTGACAAATTCTCATTGTAAATACTATAAGAAATGAATAGAGAACAGCATGGAGAACTTGCATACTGATATTGGGGTGTTAAGGGTTGATATCTGAAAGAGGTGTTTAAGACTTATCACACTGAAAGCTAAGAGACAAACATTTTTAACATCTAAATTCTTAGGCTTTCATTCAATAGGGCATGTATCCCATCTTGACGTAATTTTCTTTTTTTGCATGATAGAGCTACTTTGTGGCTTTCGGACTTGTTTTGATATGACAAACACCCTCCTCTACTTGTTTTCATTTGGTTGATTTTGGCCACACTTCCTTGAATTAACATGCACCAAAAAAAAATGGTTTTCATTCACAGTATCTTGTAAATACCATGAAAAGGAATTTTTTGATTAAAATAATTTACAATTTTTTTTTTACCATCTTTACTAATGAATTTTACCTTTTTTACACCTCTTTTTCCATACACCCCTCAAATTCCTGAGATCTGATTGTTAATTCTCCCCTTGAAAATTACTTACAAGAACTTGGTATTAGACCATGATGACAACTTTTACCTGATAAGTTTGAGTATTCTCAGTACCTGTTTGCTGAACAGTGTGTGGATATTATCAGAGAGAAGTCAATTGTTATCACTTCTGGGAATTGAAAGATTAAATTTATGTGTGAGAAATATTTGCATTCTTTAAACTCACCTGCCTGCGTTTTTGACAAACCCAGAGTCTGCCAGTCCATCATTACAGATTTCACAACGGAAGCAATCAGGATGCCAGTTAGCTTGCATAGCCTTAATAACACGCCCAACCACAAATTTACCTACAAGGGAAATCTAAATGTTAGGGTGTTCAGTAACTGAGTCTTAAAAAATTTCACCCCATCACCTCTGCGATGTGAAAGCTAGACTCTCCAGACTGATAAAAATACCTAGCTTTGAAGAATATTTTTGAGAATTTGGTTTTAAATCCAGACATTATCATCAAATTGGAAATCTTTTTCAATCTTGCTGTTTTCTTACTTGATGGTGTACTTTGAATATGGGTCATTAAAAAGTTGGAAACTCTCGGGAGTATCCAGGTTCATAGTTTACCTTCAGTTTTCATGAATTTAGACCTCTCAACCTTGAGTCCTGTGCACTAACCCTTTCACTCCAAGACAGAATATTTTCATCACAATATTGGTACAATATCAACCAGATAAGTGATGAAAATAAAGAAAAATATTAATTTGGGGATAATTTGTTAATCCAATACTAAATTCTCTGAACTAACATTATAGGAATTGTATGATTGATAGTAAGGAGAATTACAATTTGATCTGGGAGTAAAAGGATTAACTGTGTGGCCAATGTGTCTCCCACTCAACAAAATTCTCAGAGTGACAAGATTTTGATAAGTATCTTCTCTAGAAGCAGCAGCTATACTTCATGCTCTAGACAATGCAATTCTGGTAGTATAGGCCACTTTGTGACTGTGTGCAGACTTGTGTAATTGGGATGGTCCTTAGATAAAAAAAAAGCTGTTCAGCAAACATTAGGCACACTTACCACACTGTTTGCAACAAGGAGCAAACAAAGTCTGGAAGTCTTCCTCGCAATATCTTCGCTCATCATACTAAAAATACAAAGCATAGCTCATGAGATTTCAGAAAGAGTTAATTCTCTTCTGACTGACAACATTAAATTTATACATGAACTGAGGGTCTAAGTACAGGTTACAGAAAGCCTAGTGGCTTAAGGTGAACTGTAATTCTTCCTTTTTGGCCAACAACCATTAAAAATTGCCTCAACATGCCAAATTGTCAATCCTACATGGCTGGATGTTGAGAATGCATGTTGTGTTTTTAACACCTGATAAGCTTCTTTACCCCTTTCCACCCAAAAATCAGCATGCATATTTTTCATACTGTTCTCTATCCATTTCCTGGGGTGCAGACAAACAAATCAAGAGTATCTTTAGTTGCTGATCATTTCCTTTATTCTCATGACCTTAATGTTTGATCCAGAGGTGATATTGTAAGGAGAAATTAGATGATAACATCAAAGGGTTAACATGAAAGCAGTCATATATTTTTCAAGTTTCTATTTTAGGCCAGGGTGTATAAATTCTCTTAAATAAAACAAAAACAAGCATCAACTTGCCTCATAAAACAAGCCATCGGGAAATGGCTGGAAGCATTGCACACAACTAGTAAAACAAAGCAAAAAGTGAAAGGTCACATTAAACAAAGCTAGCAAACCCTGATTTTAACTGTTTCTGAAATAATATTAGATAGATAGATAGTTTATTATCAAGAACCTTGCAGCCATAGGCTGAATTACGTTTGATTTACAATAAAATATATACTACAAAAAATACATGGCTAAGAAGAACTAATTAAAAAGACAAAAATATATAATTAAGAGAAAAACAATATTACATCATTGCTTTATGGACATAGTGATGGATAAAACTATTTCGAGTACGAATGGTGTGGAGGCGCCGTGTAGTAAAAGAGTGCTGACTCCTTAAATTGACTTCGCACTCATTCTTGGGAGGTAGTAAGCTATAGAGCTTGTGTGAGGGATTAGACAGGATGGAATTAAAAAGCTTATCACATAAGAACTCACGGCGGTTGTGTAAGGGAACTAGACCAGTCAAAAGAAGCGCCTCATTGTACGAACAATCTGGATAGATAATACGTAGAGCTCGCCTTTGACATCTCTCAAGATCTACTGAAAGGTATTGCGGGAGGCTATGATGATAAACAGGGCATGCATATTCAGTGACAGGCCTAATACAAGTCAAATAGAAGAGCAAAAAGCTCCTCCGACTTGACCTGTGCACGCTTAAGCTGGCGCAAAAAAATACAGGCGCTTGTTTACTTTCTTTACAACTTCGGATACGTGATTATTCCACGTAAGATCGCAAGATATCTGCAAACCTAAGATCTTTGCTTGCTCTACACACTCTAAGTCCTGATCATTAACCTTAATTGGATCAAAGTTCTTTCTAGAGTGACTGAATGTTATGCGCAGTTCCTTGCACTTGGTTTCATTTAATTGGAACTTGTCAGCAGAAGCTTGCGTCGCGAGTTCGTCAACCGCTTGTTGGACTTTGCTGACCTCAGACTTCATGACTGTTTCAGAAATAGTGGAGTCATCGACATATTTCCACATGTCTGTACCGGGATGATGAGGTCGTTTATCATAATAGTAAATAACCAGGGGCCAAGTTTTGTGCCCTGTGGGACCCCTGATGGGATGGCCCCCACTCCGAGTAACAGTCCTGACTAAGTTTAACACGCTGTCGGCGACAGGACAGAAAGTCCACTATCCAGTCAATTATTCCGCTTGGAAGATCGTATGAAATGAGCTTCTGAACTAGGATCTGATGGTCAATAAGGTCAAACGCCTTGCAGAAGTCAAAGAGGATGGTTCTGACAGTTGCACCGTTCCCATCCGTAGCACTAAGCCATGAGTGGACCATGCTTATTAGTGCTTGTGTCGTACTGGAACCTGGCACAGTCCCAAACTGCCGTACATCCACTTTCGCCAACACAACAGGCTTGAGGAAACTCTCCACGACGAAATCTTCAGCAACCTTAGAAAGCACGGGAGTTAGGGATATTGGACGTAGATGTTTGTTTACATCATGTATTGGATTCTGCTTTGGTACTGGAGTGATGTTAGCGTCCTTCCAAGACTGAAGCAACCGTGCTTCCTTAAACGAACAGTTAAGGATATCAGTCACAGGCAGTGCTAGTAAATCTGCATTCTCTTTAAGAAGCCAACCGGGGATTCCGTCCGGACCGGTTGCCTTAGTTGGATTTAAGGCGGATAGCTTCTTTAAAACAGAGAATTCTGATACCTGGAAAGCACTCTCCTGGTCAGAGTTGGTTGAGGTGTTAGGTGAAAAGGGGGTGAAGACGCGCATAGGAGCCAAGAACGCCTGGTTGATGGTGTTAGCAATGTCTATCGTGCTTGGAGGCGAACCTCCCTGACCACAATCAATATGTTGGTAGAGGGTAGCTGGATTAACGCCTCTAGAAGCTGCGTCTGACGTACCACTGAGCTTCTTTACCTCACGCCACCAAACTGCGGGTTTACAGTCCTTCAGATGTTCAACCTTGGAGTTATAGAACTTTGCACGGCATGCTTTCCTCTCACGATTAACGCGATTTCGTAGGGAGCGGTACTGCTCCTGGTTGCCCTGAGCGAGGGCCTTTTGGCGGCTGTGAATGAGACCCTTCAATTGTTGATTGACCCAGGGCGGCTCGTTGGTTTGTACCGACTTAGACTTCAGGGGAAGGAGAATGTCCATTCCGGTCTTAACTATGGTCTCCAGCATTTCCACTTTGCCCTTGCAAGAATCTTTACTATCGATAAGTGTCTTAACGTCCACATTTCCAAGATACGTGCACATAGCCATACGCGTTGTAGGCCGTAAGTCCCTCGATTTCACGATAAGTTTAGTTCTTGGTTGTTGGGAACGCATACGGCGGCTGAACTTCCACAGAGAAATGATCGGACAAACCGAGAGCAGGGCGCTGGATCGGAGGGGCATAGAACTCCTTCACATTTGTTAACACCGGATCTAAGGTATTTCTGCCGCGAGTTGGAAAGGTAACGATTTGCTTCAAATTAAAGCCGTTACTAAAGGCGCCAAGATTTCTTTAACAGAGTTTTATTGAAGTCACCAAGTAAAATTATCCCGCAGCCAGGAAAGCGAGCCTCAACCAAAGATAAACAGTTATTCAAATAATCCAGCATAGGCGAATCCATCGGCGCTTTCGGAGAATGATAAACAACTCCAACAATAATGCTGGTAATGCCCCTTGGGAGACGCTTGAAGGCCGTATTTGAGTCCAAACAACTTCAAACTTCCTATCCATAATGTCCTCAATGATCTTGAATTGGATAGACTCTTTAATGTACAGACACACTCCCCCATGCACTGCTTCAGTTCGATCTCGGCGGATCACGTTATAGCCAGAAATAGCGACAATATTATTGTCAATGTGGTCTTTGAGCCAAGTCTCTGTTATGCATACAAGGTCGAAATCTGCATAATGGACGACTTCACGGACTTCATCTATTTTCGGCGCCAGTGACATGACGTTGGAGAGAAAGAACGACGGCATGAATAGCTTTGATGACTTTGCAGGTTTGGCTTTAGATGGTGTAGGTGGAATAGCGAGAAGGTTGGCGTTATTACAGTATTTGTGACTGGACTTCAAACGGTAGGGGCCATGGTTGGCTGACCTTGGTGAAATAACTGCAATATGGCGGTGACGATAAACTTCTCGCTCCTTCACTTGTCGTCCAGCTCTGGTACCGCGATAAGATGGCCATTTCCCACCATGAAATCGAAGAAAACCAAAAGAGGGGCGAACCTGGACCATTTTGCGGCAGCAGATATAACATTTAAGGCAATAAAATTCAAAAATTACAGAAGCAGATGAGACCTCGTGCTGCCTTGGAAGGCGCATACATCCGCATATTACTTTGTATGCAATCAAGTCAACCATTTCCATTCACAAAGTAACATTAATCCTACTTTTGCTTTAGTATAAAATGTGTAGAACACACATTTTGGGTAACTTATCCATGTGGCTATCTTATTTGTTAAAGACTGAGAAATTCATACTTCAATTTTATCTTTACCATGGTCACCACAAGTGAATTTGTTTTCAAATTGCTAGCCACTTGCACAAAATTGGACATGAAACTGATCATTTAAAACTATATGCATGTAAAACATAATGCATGGCTTTAAAACATGTTTTAAATCTTACACCAAGTCCTAAATGAGTGCATGCAATGAAAGAGAGGGAAAAAAGCATATTCTTAATTGACTCTAAGTATCATATTAATATACTTAAGTTAGTCTGACAGTTCATAATTGTCAAATCACAGGTATCCTGAGCTCACATCTCAAGAAAAAGCAAACAACTAATAGGTTGCACACTACGATTGTGACCATTGTTCAAATGGAGGTTTGCACCAAGAGAATCCTTCCAATCTGCAATTTTCTCTCACCCAGGCATGTACAACCAGTTTCGTGTCCATATATCACAAGGTAAGTAAGGTGCATAAACTGAGAGTACCTCCTCTGTTCTAGATAAAATTCACCTTGGACCTGAGCTTCTTCCACAGCCATGTTCACTCTTGACATCAAAAGAATAGGCAGAAAGAGGCAGAATTGGAAATGCTGGTGGGAAACACTTGTTTTAAGTATAATGCACAGGGAATTTTAGAATAGAGTCATTTTCCATGTTGCAGTGATCAGAGATTTTAAACTTTGGATGGAAAAATTGCCAATTTGAAGGATTTTCAGGGTGCAAACTGCCTCTGTGTGAACAATGGTCAAAATCATAGTGTGCAGCCTTGGCTTCATCTCATAGCAGGAATAACAGTGATGGCAAAGTAAGCTTAAAACAGCACAGAATGCCAGAAACCACAATGGACACACAAGGAGTGAGTAAGTATTATAAATCTTGCATGTAAAATGTTCATATTTGGGAATAATTAATGTTGTAAATCCACCATATTTCTTTCCTCATACTATTCCTTATAACACATTCAAATTCACAACAGTTCCTCTGTTGAGAATTTAAATCCTTTAACACTGCGTCACACAGCACATGAGGCTGTCATGAATTACTCTTGTGCTTTTTCTCAAGACATGAGCGCAGTATGCCTGTGATCAAATTTGGAGGTGTTTGTACACTGTTTAGGGCCCAACCAAGGAACAGCATACAAATAAAATTTACCTGGCCTAAAAAATGACAACAACAACAACAACAACAAAAACATTCAAATGTATTCAAGAAAAGGTAGTTTTTAGAATTTCAGAGTGACTACTCGACTGTGTAGAATTAATGTCAAACACCAAACTGAATACCCACTGAGATTAGAATTATTGTACAACAAATGAGGTAACACTGATTGAGTATTCAACCCGGCAATTTTTAATTTCCTTCCCCTTGAATTCACACCTAATTTTTGGGCAGACATGACTTCCGATCGCGAATAAAGGTGGGGTAAATTCCTGTAATTTTTTAAGGCAGCCTTCAGACTAAATGAACCAACAAATCTAACACAAACTAGTTCGAGAAAATGATTTATACTGATTTACAAAATTTCTCTCCGAAAAATTAAGGGTCATTAACACTAAAATGGCTTGAAAGTCAAACCTTATCTATAAAAGAGATTTCGGAACTAAAAACTGAATTCGATTAAATTGAAGCAGTTATCTCTCTAGGTCAGGCAGACGCCCGTGGATTAAAATTGTCTGTTGTAAGTATCACGTCGTCTTTCGAGAAAATAAGAGAAATTTCACAAAGGCAACAGTGTCAATTAATTATTTATCTTAACTTCACAGAAATTAATGACTTACACAAAACAGCGCTCGTGTAGAATTTGACCATTGGAATTTACCATTCGCTCGTCAACCCCAAAACTCTCTTGACAAACCGCACAGATGGCGTTCCCCAGTCCGTAACCCGCTGGCGGTGGCATGTTGTTTTGAACTGGCATTCTTATTTGAAGGCAAGAAGAAAATCCGATCTGACTACCAAATAGTTATCACGAAGGTGAACGAAAGCCCTGAAACTGAGATTCTCACCGGGATTGACAATAACAACGAATGACTGTGGCCTCTCCTTGAAAAGTGAGAAAACTGGGTACTAGCTGAACACAAGCTTCCACTGACGGGGTAGGGACGGTGGAGACAAGATTCCATTTGTTTTCAAGGAGCGTGACCCTCTGTGTGTCACGCCCAGCAACTACGTGTAGAGTAACCGGTGTGGAGGGCAAAATTTTTGACGTTCAAGGCACCCTCAATACTTTGTCTTACTTCCTCTGATGCACAGACAATCTCCGGGCGGGTCAGTCAGTTCCTTGGCCATCACAGGTTACTTAATAAAGGATTTCTTGAACAGACCATCTAATGAATCCCGATACTAAATTCAATACCTGGTATCACAAAGTATCAGACTCAAGGCAGACGACAAATTAAAATAAATCATTTCACTTTCTTTTTATTCCATAATACTAAATCAGCAACCAATCAATTTGATCCCTGAGAATCATAGTCTTTTTCATATCTATTTGATATATATCCTAAGCTTAAATTCTAAGCATTGACTGACAGTCACATCATGAGCTGATCAGAAGATATTTCCTCTAAAATAAGCCTTAACGTTGAAAATCTTTCTCATAAATAATCTTTTCAACTTCTTTCGCCTTCATTATGAGGCTGTGCTACTAACAATATTGTCCAGCCCCTCCCTTCCCTCCCCCCTTCCCTTTCCCCCTTTCCCCCACGATCATTTGTTTCATTTTAGCGTCAACACTGAGTCTCCAAACATCATTAATATGCGGCAAAATTAGTTTAAAAGAAGCCTCTACTCTCTATCCCCTCTTCCACTTTCTAGCGAAGGGGCGTAATTTTGTTTTATATTGTATTAGTGGAGCGGACACAAAAACGAGGAAAGCTCATTAGGGTAGGTCAAGCGAGGGAGCGCAGAAAACAACTCAACGGAGTGAAAAATGATGTGTAAACGGGTGCCATTTCTTGCGTTCTTGCGCTCCTTCGCGCTCACGTCACGCTTCCTCGGCTCGCCTGCAAAACGCAAGAGAAAAGGAATATGACACCTGCTATTTCATAAGCACTCTCAAGCGCTCAAAAACAAGGGTATTCAATCGATCAATTAGGGTAAAAGAAATTACCTCAAAAAGTCATTGAAAACTCAGAATAAACACATGTTAATAACTTCACACTAAGGAAAACACGAGTGATCATGGCCTGGTCATGACTGATTCTGATTCGTTGAGCGACTGGCGTGAGTCTTCTGACTGATGGCAGAATGAAGGTAACGGAGCAAAACATCCCCCACAACTTTTGACATTCAATCAAAAATTTGCTCCATAGCATCGTTACAATGAATCATGTTCTCACTAGAACTAGCCTCCTCTTGAGCCGTTGTTTAGGATATCCCCTAACGCTTCCCAATCAAGAAGTGGCTTCTCCATTCCATGCCCCATGTAGGCCAGTCATAGAGGACACCTCGTGCAAAATTCGTCCATTTCCAGGGGTGGACGCTGCGTGACATCCCAAACAACAGCTGTGAAGGAGAGTAATCTGAAATGTACGTTCAATAAACATGCAAAATGGATTGACTCTTTTCAATACTCAAACGGGGTGTCCGGTTCATTTATCAACTTCTTCCAGAACATAAGCGAAGCCAGTCTTCCGCTCTGCGGAATGCATGTCGGAAAGACGGTTAGCATGGTACCGAGGTAGTTATATCCAGGTCCCACATAATGATACTCGCTCAGGTAGCCACAGGCGTCATGAGTTGCAGTGTGATACAGAATAGCATCTATTTCTTCTTTCTCTTTCCCCGTGATTCGATAATGTTTGTTGTTTGGGTTTGCGAGTTCTGTCCTACCTCCTGAAAGGCACAAGAAAAAATTTAACATTCGCATGATTTACATGGGGTAAATCAGGGAAGAGGGAAATTGCTTTAATTTTGTGGGAATCAAAACCATCTGAGGTTCGTAAGAGGGGTCACTTTTTTCAACTTTACTTTCGGCCAGATTTACTTTCAACCTTACCCTAACCTAACCTAACCCTAACCCTAAGCAATTCCGTTGTTATTTCGGCGGTGAAAAGAATTGTGCTTCTTCATTGTACACTTCAAAAAAAATCTTCGCTACAAGAAATTTCATTTTTGAAAATATTGCTAATGAACGCAGAAAACAGTAAGCCCGCACACTGCAAAAAATATATTTGAGGGATGCTAAACATAGAAGCCTCCATTTGGCACGAAAACATTCTCATATATTTGTCCTCGAAGCTTACAGTTTCGCTTTTGTACGCTTCTCTGAACAGACAATGTTCGCGGATAAATATGCGACCATGAAGGCTATTTTTTATTTATTAATTGGCTGTAAAAGGTTCTCCATGGATACAATTTTATTGATTTGGTTTAAGAAAAAAAAACCGTGAAAAAAAAATTCCAGGTTAAACAAGAAAACATCAATTATGAGCCACGGTCTCAGTAGGGCCTCGAAAGAAATTGCAAATAGAGGGGGGCGTGTCCGGATAGAGCATGAAGCAAAATAGTTTCACACGAACCTGCAGGATGCAAAAGAACACCGAACACTGGGTCAAGGCCACCGAGCGTGTCTGCAATGATCTCTCCACATCTCAATTGCTGTTTGGTTCCCCAGTACCAATCGTCATCGCGTAAAACAGCTAAGGGCTTCTTGTTGTTGTGAATGCACTGGAAACACTGCTGTTCTTGAATATTATTCTCCATGTCCTCTCGCTGTCCGCGAATGAGCAAAAGCCTCTTGTAGTCTGTCATCATTTTTGTTTCGTAGAAACCAGGTCTGCCCTTCGTACGAAGCTTGACGACTTCCTTAAGAGTGCTTTCTGCCTCTGAAGAAAGTCCTTTACCATTCTCCACAAGATTGTAAAGCTTCCTCAAATGTTTACCAAGGCTCTGAATTTCTTCATTTCTTGTAGCTACACTCGCTCTCCTGTCGCTAAAAGACGAGTAGAAGAGCTCTCTCAGATAACTTTCCCTTTGTTCCTTTGAGAGATACGAATGCATTTAAGTACACAAAACCGCGACAGCACTCTCAGCTCCAAAAGTGTGACAAGTCGGTAGAGCAAAATTCTTCATAACATGCTTGGTAATCCTACACTTCTATTCCATATTCATTGAAATGTTGTTCCCGAAAATGTTGTCAAGAAAAATTGCCAATATTTTGACATCTGCTTACGTCAACACGCGTCTTGTCCTGCAATTTGGTAATTTTGCAGGTGGTGAAATATTTTGCGGTTCCTGAATGGCCGTCGTTTGAAATTTTGCCATAATTCCTTTCTAGTAAAGGACTTGGTAACCAGTTAGAATTTGTCTTGACAGAAAACAAGTCATTAATCATGAATAAACCTGTTGTGGGTGGTTATCAGTAAAAGAGAGATGAAGTGTCTTCTCACGTGCGTCATTAGCTCGACAAATAAACTTTTTTTTTCGAGTAAATAAACTGGTATAGTGCTATTCTTTTTCAGACCTTGTCGGCTTCGAAACCGGTCATTTTGGCGCCTTTTGTGTCTTTTTTATTTTGTAAGTTTGCTCGATATTATTTTTTCTCATAACTTACTGGCAACTTAAGCATTCAACAATTACGCTCTCAAGAATAGGCCAGATACCAGTCAATGCAAGTGTTGAAATTCCAAATGAAACGTTGCCGAGTGTTGCAATCACTCGCAGCTATGGGCATCGAAAATTGATTAACGCCATAGGCTAGGAAAACTTAAATTTCCTGTGAAGCGTTCCTAAAGTAATACTTTTTCTCACGAGTTGCGAGAAAATCTTCCAATTTACAAGCTTGACAAAGTACTAAAAAGTTTAAACCCTGTACTTTTAATTACAACTCATCCCTTTTAGACACGGTAGATCTGATATGAGTCGTGCGCGTTAATGGTTTGCTTATCGACTGGATATTCCCTTTTATGCGATAAGCTCCATGATAAACGCGTTTTGGTGACTTCTTACTCATGATCTATTGGAGGACAGACGCAAAGATGACGTCACCATCGACTGTGTTTTGCTTTTTTGTATCATATAAAATAAATCGATTCAATGTTCCCGTGGGTCTGTACAGAAAAAGATCACAGAAGACTTCAAAATGTTGTAAGAACATCAGTGACACACTTGACTGCACCTCGTGTCCACCTCCCCCCTCCCCCCCATATTTTGACGTCATCTGTGAACAGACGCACGGCAACATGGAATCTAGTTGTGGACAATTGACACGAAAGGCGCGACGAATTTTGTTTGTGTGAGTATACACAGATATCTATCAGTACACAGGAGTTTCTCTGAGCACACAAGGGTATCAATGGGTTTGCATGAGTACACTAAGGTGCCCATGGTTAAGCAGCGGTTTACGCGAGCATACACGGGTACCTGGTTAAGAAAATTTATTTTATCTTTGCAATACTTTCTCTTTGAAGCTAAGCCAGTAATTGTAAAAATTTCGAATTTGAAAAACAGCACTTACAATCCATACTTTGAATATAACGAAGCGCCTCTAAAATCAATTTTCTCACAATTTCACTAGGGAACTAAGCGCCTTTGAAAAAATATCGTTTAAAATTTGCTTTACTGGATTAACTAGCCTTGCTCTGAAAAAGTCAGTTACAATTTACTTGGCAGGACAACTAAATAATTTTACGATAGAGAAAACATGGCTCTTAAATTTTGTTCAAAAACTGTTACACTCAGTTTAAGAGTACATTGTCCATTTTCCTGTCTCAAATTAATATGGGCAGAAGTCAAGCGAACTTTTTACAAACATTTATCGCCATTTGTATCGATCCGAATTGTCTTTCGCGAGTGGAATCCTCTAATGACTGGCGGTTGATGATTTCATGTTACTTAATCTTTTCTTATTTCAGTAGACTATGTTCTTTTACTTATGCCTCATGAGATTTCGTGGGCACCAGCCAATTCCCAAAATCAAATGTCACGCTGTCACCAGTCATCAAAGCCGCTGTTTCTCATCCACTTTCTGACCTCGTGAAGAGATTCACTTTCACTGTAGAAAAAGTGCTCATAGAAGCAAGTCATAAACTGCTCTGTGGCTGCGTCGCCCTTGGCGCACCGTGTCCCCAACATTGAGCGAGCACCGGATCCTAGGAACGCTTGAGCGATACCAATAACTCCCTCGATTCTAATCTGTCTAATAGCGCCGTGACAACAGCTAAGTACCACCAGTTAAGCTGGCAGCTTAACTTGTGAAATGTCCGCCATCGTCTAATGGTAGTCCTCTTCAGGAGGAATGCAGCTCGTTGGGATCTTAGGAGAAAGAGCAATCTCTCCTCTATCGGTACCACCATGGGCAGCAATATTTATCAGGCTCACTGAACTTATCCCTTGAAGTACATCCTGCTTTGTTGCGCAGTCTCCAACGATATCACGTCAAGAAAGCCTTCAAAGCATCTTCGTTTCCCCTTTTGCACATGGCAATGGTGCTATGTTTTTGCGTCTTTCCTTGTAAATCACCTCTCCAACCACAGGGTCACCCATTATCAGTGCATTAGTGTGACTGTGATATTCAGGGAACTGTCTAGGACGAGCTTGAGAGTGGTCAGAGATGGAACGATACGAAGCCCGAATACCTCTGATAAATATTCGCCTCCTTTGTCAGAGCCGCGAATGGTATCTGGTACAGACAGGAATCAGGGACAATTATAATCTTGGGCTCCGTCAGTAGTTCGGCCGCAGGAGCAATCAATATCTTGTAACACAGGTGAAGATTTGTTCTGGACTGTTCGCTACCATGGTCACGAAAGACCGCTCACTGGTTTTCATAACAAAATGAAATTGATTCTAGGTCATCTAGGGATCGATCTCCGCAATTCTGTTTGGGTAAAAATTCTAAGGCTGCGGAAGCTAACTAACTCTAATAACTCTAACAGTTATAACCTAAGGAAATCCCTGAATGTTGTACTTAATAGGCCCAAAACCGAATTGGGTCGTAGGTCCTTTGCTCATAGATCTGCAGTAGCATGGAATGCACTTCCCGATAATGTTAAAGATTCTCCAAATTTATCTATTTTTAAATATAACTTAAAACAATCCAAGCAAACTGTTATGAATATTAATTTTGAAAAGGGAGGTAATGTTATACAAAACATGAAACCAAATTTTCACTATTACTAAAACTTTATGGTTTACTTGATTTATTCAACTTATAAATTTTATCATATCTGTATTTTATATAATTATAGACTAATTAGTTTAGGCAGGTCCACATCAGCTGTAAAGTTGCGCAAATTTTAACCTGCGTTATCAAATAAAGTTATGTATGTATGTATGTATGTATGGAAGCTTTCTTTCAAATACTCATCTAGGTCAGGGACGAATCCTTTCACCACGTTTTTGTCCAGGCTCACAGTCTTTTTTAATAAGTGGATACCTCCTGTTGCTTTGAGAATCCAGAACCGAACATCCTCTTCTCCATCGGAGATGTAGAGGCAGGTAGAGTCAGTTCCTTTGCGACAATATTTTGAATCCCACACCATGATTGTGGATCGCCTGAGGGCTGCTCCTCAACAGAGTACAGAGCTGCAATCAAGTCGCTTAGGCCTCTTGCCCGTCCCAGGACCTTTCAGGGACGTTAAGCAAACCAGCAAAAACGTGATGTCAACGAAGACGTGGCAAAATAATAGATCTAATGGGCAGGACAATGGTTTAGCACGTGATTTTTTTAAAACCTAGTACGTTTCTTAGCCGTCCTTTGCCAAACAACAACATGAAATTACCAAAATTTGCGCTGAGAACGGGAACCCCGACAGCAAATTATGTAAGTTTCCATTTGGAAGTCAATGCTGCTCACATATATTTTGCAATCTTTCACCCGTTAAAATACGTTTTTCACGTGATCGAAACGTATATCAGTAAATACATTTTATTCTCACTGAAACATGTAACCTAGATATCAGTGATGTGTTTCTCGTTTTTAAATTTAGTTAAATACCGCAAGCCTATGGAGCCCGCAGTATTCGATAAAGTTTTAAACCAATCAGATAACAGTATTTCAAGTCGTGAAACTCAAAATGGCTGTACTTCTATTAAGTTTGGCTTGTGTACTCAACGGAATGATATCCAGAAAGTGCCAACCGAGTAGAGCATACAGATTGTTTTGTTAGTCAAGATATGTTCAAAACATCAACAGGCACAAGAAAAATTGACTGTACACCGCGATACTTTTATTCTTTCGCGTTAAACCAGCAATGATACGACACGGAGCAAGATTCTTTGGATTATGACGTGACGTTTGGTCCATTTTTTTTTGTGTGGTTGATTGTGAGAAAAATTCTGCGGTTCTGTTACTAATCTACCAGTGATATCATACGAAATCGGATGAAAATTATACGAAAGTTTGAGGTCAAAAGAATATGAGCAAGACAAGCTCCAAGGGGTAAGTTTCCACTTTTGCAACATTCAATGAAATTGTTTTCCTTGTCCGAACGAGTGTTTGTGTTGTGAAAACGTGTGGCCAAATTTTATTTTAGGAGTAGTGCAAGGATAGGCACTTTACTAGAGCAACTACAAAAAGCTGTGCCTCGCAGGTTCCGAGGCCAAGTATGATCAAGAGAAGCTTGATGTCGAACAGTTGCGTTACGTTACGAATAAAATTCAGCAACTTTTGTCTTCTCAAGGTAACGGTTACAGTTATGTAATTTAGCATCATGTTACCAAGCACAGAAATAAAGGTATACTAAATTTTCAAAGACTTATTTTTCTCCACGTTACCAGCATGCTCTCAGTCAGTTAGATAGTACTGAACGTTAATTGCTCACAATAAGGCGAATTGTCTTTATGGAACAGTTCTACTGTAAATATAGTAAGATTATTTTTTACAATCAATCATGCATCACTTAAAAGTTGTTGTACGAATTAATTTTTTATTTAACGGTTTTTTTTTTTTCAAACATCTTTTACCATTTATGCATTGCAATAAATGAGGGAAAAATCAAAATTGTGCTAGCTTGGAAAATTTAAATAAATTTGAACCACACTTTGCATTTCTGACAATGGCAATAAGCATGTAACAACTTTTTGATAAACACTTTTGCAGAAAAATGTCGCAAGGATCTGACGACAAAATTTAGAGATGGACTGTCAACACTGCTTTTAGTTCTAGAGGTAAAAGCTTTTTCATGAGAAACTTTAATCTTAAACATCTCAGTTTGTGGATCAAGTTTAAGTGAAAATTTAGGAAAATGTTTTGTTTCTTATAGATGTCAGCAGATACACAACTCATGCTGAACATTTTGGGTTGTCTGTGCGAACTGTTAACCACAGGTATCTGTGTTTTAACCCTCTATGCTCTTATGTCAGTATGCATTTTTTCCATACTGTTCCTTATATATTTCCTAAGGTGCTGATAAGGAGAATTTGTTGAACAGTCTATTGTTGGCCAGGCTGTCATTTCCTTTTTTTCTTTTAACCTCAATGTGTTATTTTGGGAAGAGAAATTAGATGCTAGTCACTCTTAGGGGTCATAAGGTTAACCATTCATAATGAGTTGAAGTGCGAAAGTTGTAGAAAGGGGGTAAGTTTCCAAAGAAACAATAGTGCCATGTGGATGGGAGAGTATAACAGCAAATGGAATGCTGCTCTGATGAATGGCTAATGCCCAAAATGTTAGCTTTAAAACTCTTTATGGTGGCCAATTTACGTTAACCCTTTAAATCCCAAGATCTGATTGTTAATTCTCCCCTCCCAGCTGCTTAACATCTCCTTGTAAATTAGTTTTGAGAACTTGGTGCTAGATCAAGATAGCAGCATCTAGCTGATAAGTTTGAATATTCTCATTACCTTTTTGCTGATTAATGTATGGATATAATAGGGAGAAGTTTTATGTTGATCACTTCTGGGAGTTAAAGGGTTAAAACTTAGTTGGTAATACTAAATTACCTTAAAAGTTGTAGAGTTTGACTAATACTAAATGACAGGGTGTTAACAATTACCTGCACCATACAAATGACTTCTTCACGGCATTTACTCTGAAGAGGACCAAAACAGAACTTCCTAATACAGACAGATCGAAACTTAAACCAATCAGGACCCACTCACCAGATTTCTGTCTTACAGCTGATAACATTATGGCTAATCTGACCAATCAGTTTAGATAAACTAGACTTATAACACTCAACTGACAACAACAACTCTTCACTGGACTCTAAGATGACTTCTGCTAAGGTTTTCAAAACATCAGTCACCACTACCAACAAAAGTCCTTATAAGGATTACAGTCACCTGGACAATCAGATTACATAAACAAATGTTACCTGCTGGTTAAAACCATTTACTGTGGTACGGCTACTACGAAAGGAAGTCATGTAACTAGGCATAATTTGTAGACGATGATGATTTTGAAAACTAGAGTAGAAATAAAGATCACAATAGGGAAACGTCATCTAAAATATAACTATCACGGCTAATTTTGCTCAGTGGGTGATGTGGTGCATATGATAAACAAAATATATGATATGAAAAAATCGTATCACTAAGGGAAGCTTGAATCTATTGTCTGAATCAATATATGAAATGTTACTTAAACATTTAGATCATGTTAACCTTTTAACCCTATGAGTGATCAAGACAGAATTTCTCCTTCTTTGTTTTAACATTATACCCATTCTACAGAAATTTGTCATGAACTTACAATTTTTGTTGCCTGAAAACAGGTAAAAGGGCATCTGTTCTTGCAGCCAAGGGTACTGTAGATATCATACTAAGAGTGATTGTGAGTGCTAGTAAAGAAGCATCAGTTTGTGAAGAGGCCTTGCTGCTTTGCCACGTCATTTTAACAAAAGTTGGGCCAAAAGGTGAGATGTTAGATATATGTAAGTTAATACCTGGTGATCTTTTTGGGTATATGTAGACAGATAAATCTGAAAGGAACACGGCATTGGGTATTACTTGTTATCTAGAATATATTGACCTTGAGAGCCAGTAACCTCTTACAAAGAAAGCTGTGAAGTCTGCACATGGTTGACCCTGATATACATCATTGGGTTCAGATATTGACCACAGAAGAGTATTACTTGAATCATTGTGAATAGGGTAATTAGAGTCCCTATGTGTAGTACATGTTTAAGGGTGCTGAACTCGTAATCTGGTGGTCCTCCATCCTGCTATTCGCTGGATTTGTTCTCGGTCACCCCTATTTCAACTCCGTGGCTGCACTTTGTAAATAGCCAACTGGTCTGCCTCCTGCCAGTTGGGATTTTCAAGTGCTTTATGTTGCCTTGAATCATTTGTTTCTTTCTCTTTCTTAATGTTAAGTGCTTGGGGGCTTGCAATAAGCGCTACATGAATAATTAATTTAATTTTGATATAGTAGAGATTTAGGTTACCAGGTACTGTCTCTGAAGTACTTTTGTTGTCATGTTCCTGAAGAAAATCTCAATTGAGTGGTTTAGTATCACTTAAAATCAGGGGCCATGCTAAACCAAACCTTGCAGTCAAGAGGAAAATTGAAAGAGGCCTGGCTTAGAAAATCACATAAATGTATCAGTTCTCAAAGGGAAATGACACTCTTTTGCTCACACGTATGGAGCATGTCTTGTCAAAATGAATTCTTCTTGTCAGTGAAAGAGCTACCTGTTGCTGTATTTATTTTTGTTCAGTAATTGTTTGTAAAACTACCTCTGAGGGAGATTTTGGCATCGTGGTTTAGTTCGTCAGGAATACAAAATAAGCAAGAATAAACCAAGAAAAAACAAGGGTGACCAGGTTGGAGAATATTGAAATGGACTGAAATTAAAAACTCAGAGATGTGCAATCCATCCACAATTTACCTCCCAAGATCTGCTCATTAATTCTTCATGCTTTCTGCTTGTTCACAGATCGTAAACTTTGTGTGAAAGCTCGTTTGACTGGAGCTCTCCAAGTCACAATGAATATGGTGAAGAACAATACAACATTCTTTAAGGTTCTACAACCTGCATTACAAGTCCTTAAACTTTACTCTGCCAATTGTAAGTTATCAAACTGTACATGTTCAACTCTGCCATACATTGCTTACATGCATTGTCATAAATTGGGGGAATTTAAGCTTCATCTTGTTCATTTTAGTCACCTGTTTTTGTGTCATTCTTTCTTTCGTCTTCTGATTCCTATGAAATTATAAGATGAAGGCTTGATTTACAAATAACTAATATAAATACATGGTGTGTCCTAAATCTGGACTATGGCCACTTTACATGCAGTTGAAGAGGAGATTCTAAAGGAGGTCTAAAAAAGGCTCTACATAGCACCCCTACCACACAAAATGTGTGACTTCAGATTATGATCAGCTGATAGTCTCACAGATCATTGCCTCATCAGTCATAGTCACAAATTTTGGGGTCAGTGACTTGCTACATGCTAATTTTTAGGGGGTGCTTTTGGATGTACAGTCTCACCTGTGGTAAGCAGCATTATATTATGTGGTCACTCTGAATTAAGCAGTCAGTTGTCAAAGTCTCACATTTGTTTCCCCTTAATTACTGTAATTTTCACCTTTATTTAGCAGTCATTTCTATTAATTGGTTGTGGTCACCCTCTACTGAGTCCTCTACTTATACTGAACAATAACTTACAGCAGAACCACTCTAAGAAAACTAAGAATAATCTTTCAGGTTAAATTTAATCTAAGTTTATCTCCTGAAATTGTGGTTAGCAGTATTCTTCAGTAAGTTTTTTTCCTTTTTCAGAGCTTATTATTACTCCCTGATCAATCAACAAACTTTTTGCAACCAGGAGCTCCTATCAGAGCTTGTTTACTCCCTGATCCACCAACAAACTTCATACAATTGGGAGCTCTTATCATAGCTCATTTTCTCTCCAATCAAGCCACAAATTTCTTGTGATCAGGAGCTTTTTTCAGAACTCATTAACTCCATGATTAACTGAAAAACTTCTTGTGACAAGGAGCTCTTATCAGGGCTCAGTGACTCAGTTGACTGACAGACCTCTTGTGATTGGGAGCTCTCATCAGAGCTCATTGAATCCCCAATCAACTAACAAATTTCTGTCTTTTTGAGTGATCAAAATCTGCTATTTATTATTTTCATTATTTTTCACCATATTTCATGAAATCAAGTTTTTTCTTGGTTTCTTTAGCAACAGTTGCCATTTGAGCCATTAACCAACTAATGAAAATTATTCTGCATTAAGTAACTGCCAGAGTTAAACCACCCCTCCAAATTTTATTTTATTTGGTTGAGTAGTTACTGATGTATTATTGAAAAGTTCCTGTACACATAAATACTGTCTAATCAAACCTGTATTAGGGAGTTACTCATGGGGAATGGCAGAGTGACCGCTAAATACAAGTTGACAGCTTAATACAGGTCCCTTAGATTAGGAGTATTTTAAAAAAACAAACACAAAACCACTTTATGCTGTAATTGGCCACTTAATGTACAGAATCTTGCTCAAAAATACTACTTAATTTGAATTTGGGATAGAAATATGGATTAAAAATTGCTTGAGAGATTACTCTTGGTGTTATTTGAGTGGTTCTGCTTTAAGTGACTGTTCAATACAGTTGAATGACAATACAGACAAGCCATTGGGACTTTGTCAAAGGTGACCCTAACTGCTCAATAGGGGTGATGTCTTAATAGAGGTGACAATTATAGTGATAAAGGTGAAACAAATTCAGAACTGTGGTAACCAACCGCTTGATATAGGGTGACCACTTGATACAGTACTGCTTAACACATGTTCTCCTTTATCATTTGGTACTTCCATCACCCCTAACAGCTTGTCACTAGGTCCCCACCTGGTGACTATGGCTGTCTTATCTAAGACCTTTTGTTATCAGGCTACTATGATTGGATGTCAAACCTTTTGTGTGGTGGGGGTGCCACAAGGTTGACTTTTTCTGGCTTCTCCTCCTCAGCCACTATGATATATTCTCTCCAGAAGGAATTATGATTCTAAACAAAGCTCAGTCACATGTTTCTGGCCATGTATGCCTTCTCTTCATCACTAGGGCTGTGTCTTAGGCAAGGCTAGATACTGTACCTTAGCCAGCTACTTGTTGTTGGAGGACACGAGTGAGCTATGTTGTATAAAAGCTTTCGAAACTGCGCTCGTCATATATCTTAGATAAGTCAAGACCCTTCAAGCTTTCCTTTGATTCTTCTAAGAGTGCACTGTTGAATCTTGTTTTGAAGCCGTCAACTGCAATGCCCTGGCCAAAGCAGGAGCTGTTGGTGTTCTGTTTAGAGTGGTTACCAGCTGTGGTCACAAGAGGGTTATCTGTTTAAAGTAAGAATGCATTTTTACCTTTTAGCTCTTAAAATGCTGGTATATCATTTGGTTTTGCATTTTATTTCTTAGATCACCATCAGATCTTTTACATAGCTATTTTGTTGTTCTTTTGTTCTTGAACAAAATTGGCATTTCCAAGTTATGTGGACAGAGCCTGATAATTTACTAGTAAGAACAATTTATTGAGGGTGTTACTCACATGTAATATAGTCAATTTTCACAAATGATTTCCTATTTTCTCTGTTTACATTGACTTTTAAGTTAATGGCAGTTATTTTATTTTTAGGATAATCAGCTTTGCATCTGTTGATTAGAATTGAAATTCATAACCCTTTAACTCCCAGCAGTGATTAAAACATTTAACTTTTTCCTCTAATATCCATACATTACCCAGCAAACAGGTAATAAGAATACTCAAACTTATCAAGTAGAAGTTGTTTTCTTGATTTAACACCAAATTCTCGTTAGTAATTTACAAGGAAAAGTGCAGCAGTAAGAGGGGAGAATTAACAATCAGATCTTGGGAGTTAAAGTGTTAAAGGCACTGCATACCTCACAGTAGCTGTCACAGTGCCCCTTCAAGAATTGGGGTCATATTTTTTCAAGAACTGAAATTGCTTTGTTTTCCATTCATTATTGAAGGCTGGTGTTGGAGATAATTGCTACCCTTGTAAAATCAAGTGAGTACTCCATTTTGTTTTCATCAGTTAATCATATATTAAGTCATCTGATGGAATTGTTAGCCACCCAAAATCATTTGTAAGTCAGATGCCATTATAAAGAAATATTTGAGTTCAATTCAAGTTATCTACATCTGTTGCTCTTTGCATTCTTCAAAGTTGTTCAAACACAATGAATAACAACAAGAATAATTAGATTTGTAATCCCTAAGCACTTTTTATGTGAAAGCTGCTTTGTTGTTGAGCTACATGTAAATGAATAACCTGATTTATTATTGTAGTTATCTTGCTATATTCCCTATGTCACAGTTGTTGCAAATCATTTTTATGAATTGTATAAGTTCAGACATCATAGGAATATGATGTAGATAAGAATATAGTGCAACAAATATTGGTAATTGTGAGAACAGCTCCCTGAAAATACCAAACAGTGACCTAGAAAATAAGAATCATTTTAATCCAGTGAGGTATTCATAAATTAATGTACCCATAATACAGTCATGAAGCATTAGCTGTTATTGCAATGTTGAGGGTACTATCTGCTCACCACAGATTACACTCAGAAGTCTACTACAAAAAATTAGCAAGCTCGTTTGACTTTAAAGAGGCATATTTGTCCCATGAGGCATCCCTCCTTCAAAGAATGGTAGCACTTTTAAGTTTCTGTGCAGCAGATTTTACTAGACAGCTAAGCAGACTGAAAAAATTGTTAAGAGCTATTTAGTTACAATAAGGAACAGAGTTGGACTTGTTAATTGGGGATGGGGACTGCACACTCAAAATCTTACAATTTATCAAAGTTTTCTTTTTCAATTTAAAATTTTCTTTATTTAAAATATTCATACATGTATATATATTTTCTTGTCATTTAATATATATTTAGTATAAATAGTATTTATATATTCAGGTTACTAACCTTGGAAATTTCGTAAGGAGAAATTCTGTCTAGGTCACTTATTGAAGTTAAAGAGCTAAATAAAAGTCTCTTTCAAATAAGATAGTTTACTTCAGTCAAACATGTATTAAGTGGTACTCTTTTAAGTGGTGAACCTGTTTTAAGCAGTCAGTTTCAAAGTCCCAAAAAATTTTCCCCTCGATTACTGTAATTTTCACCTCTATGAAGTGGCCACCTCTATTGAATGGTTGTGGTCACCTTTGACTGAGTCCCTTGATCTGTGTAGAATGGTCACTTAAAGTGGAACCACTCAAATAAAACTAGGAATAAATTGTGATTCATGTCTATCTTCCAAAATCAATGTAAAGTGTATTTTTGAGCAAATTTTCTACATTATGTGGTCAGTTATGGCATGAGATGGTGTTTATTACCTTTTTAATAATACCTCTTTTCTGTGGAACCTTTAGTAAGTAGTCAATCTCTATTTAGCACTTAACACAGATTGGACTGTAAATTATTGGACAGTATAAACAACTGCCTTTACCATGTCTAAACTTATGACAATATAGAGAGACTAGCAGAAAAGTTTTCTTCAGCAGAGGCTAAAAAACCAAGTAATCACCTTTGGCTGGTCTCTTTTTTTTTTCTACAGAGAGCTGTGCATCAAAAGCAGTCAGCTATGGAGCTGTTCCACTGCTGTTACAAATGTTTTGCGATTGGCAAAGAACAGATCATCATCACAGACAGACAAACATCAGAAAAGCTATTCTGAATGTGATCAAGAATATCACCATGTCAAGTACGTTAACCCTTTACTCCCCAACCTGAGAATACATATTCTCCATACTGTTCTCATCATTTCATTTGTTATTAACAAGGAGAATTTGTATAGCAATCAGGAATGCCTTGAGAGGGGTGTTCATTTCCCATATTCTTATAACCTTAATTGTTTATCCTGTTGCGATAATGTATGGAGAAATTAGATAATAGATAGTCCTATGGGTTAAAGGGTTCATAGAGGAGACTACTGATTACATTGTTTGAATCTTTAAAATGTCAGAAGGTACACTGTGGTTGATAGATGTTGCTTCTTGAAAGACAAATTGTTCACACCTGAAATAGCCAAAACATTGTGTAAACCAAAAAGAAATTTTGAGAAATATTGATTGTGAATGTTGCTTTGGATATCTTGCCCTATCAATTTTTTACTAGTCTGTAGAGAACTGGATGTCCTCTTGTATTGCTACCCCACTTTTAAATTATTTTGATTTAGTTGTTACAATGTTTGAAGGAAGAAATGGCCTAAATTATCCTGAATTAACAGTATCAAAAATTGATAGTCAACTTGCTGCTTTGAATTTCAAACCAATAGAAATATCAAGGAAAGATGTTATTTGTTTGGTCATGCATGCTACAGTCAAACCTGTATTACCGGTAAGCGGTCACCCATGGGGAATGAAAGGATTAGGGACTATCAACCACTTAACACAGGGTGATTGCTTAATAAGATGCAGATTTTATTTGTTTGGTTGTGCATGCTACAGTATTTGAATGTTACAAAGAGACCTCATTAGTGTGCTAGCATCCTGTGCACTGCCAGGATCAATAATGTTGAAAGCAGTATGTGCATAACTAGATGAGATTTATCAGTATGGTTAAATTTCTGAATTTTAGGAAGTGGTAAGAAGGCGTTTATCCAAGCTGATGGTATTAAAACCCTGTACACTTTGTCACTGGAGACTTTGGAGTGTAAGTAAATTTTTATGTCATACAAAATGTTTTAGGCTATGGTACATGCTTTTTATTACATTTTTACAGGGGATTCTTTTTTGTTCCATTTCAGGCCGCGAACTTGAAGGGGTAAACAATCTCAGCAGCCAGATTCTACGAAGATGTTTTCCAACTAACAAGCTTCCGTTGGCAACCTTATCATCACCACTGACATTTGCTCTGTTAGATTTAGACAGCGCTGGCCACTCAGCTGTAGAAGATCTACTGGATGATAGTGGGGAAGGTGATTACAATATGCGGGTTGAAACACTCTCTACTGTATAGTTAAGTCTAAGGCAGAGATGCCAACTCTGAAAATCTTTAGAGGTTTGACGTCGAATCACACCCAACCTTCATTATTTGCTGTAAGGTTGTTTAACTTTTTTTTAGAATACACATTATTTTATTAAAACAAAATTAGGTACTTTAATGTGGTAACCACTAGAAAACTTTGTCACTCCAACTAAAATTTTTGAGATTTCCTCAATTTTATAGATTTAAATTCTATTACACTAGACATAAGTGTCTTATGAGGAGTTTTACTTAATCCTATAAGACACATAAGAAGTAATCTTATAATCAAGGTATTTACTCTATGTAGGTGAGTCTACTGATGTGGAATCAGAGGAAGAAGAAGATGACAGTGGTAGTGCAAGTCAAGATGATAAAGAAGGGCTTGAAAATGGCAACAAGGGTAAAAAGCCTGAGATTAATTCCTCAAATCAGAGCAAACAAGTCAAGACAAGAGATGATCTGGCTATGTATGAAAAGTACTTCCCAGAACTGTTTGAATTTCAGGTAAATAGTTGTGGTTTGAAAAGGCAACATTCATCTTTCTGCAACGTTCACTAGTAAGCAGTCATCTTGTGTGCTAAAGCAGGTTCTCTTAGCTTGTGCCAAAACATGTGTAGTGTGGCGACTTCAAGATTATCACCACCAATTAGATCTGTTATCATATATTTGGAGTATATAGTGTGGGGTATTTGCCAGCTGAGACATCTGTTCCGTGAAAAAGTGCGACCAAGGACACAACATTTTTAAATCCTGGGTCACATTTTTTCACTTTACATACTGACTCTGATTTGGTAAATAGCTAATAATCTATATTGTTCCTCTGGGGAAAAAAAAACAGAACAAGGCAAATTACTGGGTATTTGCCAAAGGCCAATTGAATAGGTTAAAGTGTTAGTGAGTTTATTGTTGACTGATCTCCTTCATATGTATACATGTACATTTAATTGCTTGTTAGTTTGGAGAATTTGGATTTTTATCAAATAAACACACTTTCGGATCAATGTCAGGTTCCGAGCAACTGCGCACCTACCTACCCCTCCCTTAACCAAACAAAAGCCCACTGATAGCAAGTTAATAAGGTTAATATCGGGTTTAGGGAGGGGTAGGTGCGCAGGTTTCTCAGACACTGACATTAATCTAATCTTTTTATCTATTCTCAACATCCGCTTGCCTGCTTGAAAAGCTGATGCAAGTATTGCCTCATTTTTTGATAACTTTGTAAAGTTTAAGGTTGATGTGTAATCATGCAAAATGTTTGTTGTTGTCATTCGTCAGGATGAAGTTGCCGAGCCAATGGAAGATGACATGGTAATATCATCATATCCAATAGTAATTCCAACAGGTTCTGAAGAGCCCTTGTCCTGCTCGCCAACCGGACCAAGCCATCTGTCAAACCAGCTTGATTCTATGAATTTTGAAAGGTGGGGACATACTGCAGAGTTAAATAAAAATTAGGTCGAAAGTAGGGAGCCTCAGAAGATCATATTAGTTAAAGTGGCATGAAGGATAAACAAATCGAAATGTTGTAGAGGTGTAGGAAGGGAAATTTTGATTTAAAAAATAACGTTGAACATCAATAAAGAAGTTTTTTTACGAGCTTAGGACAAGGAAGAAACTCTGATTACCCATGAGGAATCGACTCTCAGATTTACTCTGCGCTCCGATGCTCTACCTCTGAGCCACAGAAACTCTCTATCACATTTGTTAGATGTAATTTACAAGAAATTTGTTTTTTGTCCGGGTCAAATTTAGGGCGTGCACTCAGGTTAAAACATTTAACACATGTTTTTATTTTACCTAAATTCGTCGCAAATAGTCGACGTTTGGTATATTGCTTAAGACATAATGAGATGTATACATTGACCAAAGCACACTGAGTGTCAATAAGTAAGGATTACCCCTCTCCTGTAAAAACCAGTGAACAGTGTTCAGATACTTTCAACCTTATTACTGAACACGGTAACAACGGAGAAGGCCGCCTCAAAAGCCCATTTAACCGCATGTGTCAAGCAATTTAATCTCGGCTAAGCTTTAGATATGACTTTTGTTTATGTTGCTACAGTCCACCAACTTTGACACAAGCCACAGCGACACAAGAAGAGCTTACTCAGGAAGAGAGATCTTCATCCGCGAATTTCACCGCTAAGGTTGATAACAATGGTACCTTTGAAAGTGTGCTACCAATCGTCAAGACACCATCACCTGATGTGTACGGCCATTACCCACCGTCCGAACCTGAACCACTGGGACAGAAGAAAACTGGACTACAGAGGTACAGGGCTTATCCCAATTGTTAAACGTGATATCAAATTCTTAAAGGGTGCAAATGGTTATAGACGCTAGTCTTTAAAAATGTTTGTGGGAGGACGAATCAAATGGCGAGACAGAGAGCATTTCATAGTCTAGGATTGGAATGATTAAAAAGACGGGCAGCTTACAGACTAAAAACTGTTTGTTTCGCACTCGATTTAAAGGTCGGGGTAGACTGTGCCTAAGATAAAAAACAGTCGCGACCCAGTCCCCTCCCGTACCTTTACTTCTTATCGACGCTAGTCGGACCGTACAAGAAATAACAGACTCTCAGAAGTCTATGCCACTTGAGAGAGCGCGTAAAAAACAATCTCCTTAAAGTTCTGAGTCACATGTACGTCGGTATTTTTTGGTTGTTGTTGTTTTATTTTTACGATGTTAAAAGTACATTTTACTCGAGCAAGATTGCAAAACACCAGTTCAGTAGGACAGGACATATCATCGAGACTACGACGATCCAAAAGGGAACCGGGATTGTTTAATACGGTGATGTTAACAAAGAGATTCCACGTTCCCCTGCGTGTGTTCAGTGAATATATCACAGATGACATCAAACTGTTGTAAGAACAAGAAAGTGGCTCACGGCGCGTAGTTGAGTGTGTTTCTGGTGGACTTACTTCATTTTTACTTCATCTGTGATATATTAATATCTATATAATAAATATAGCCTTCATTCGGCGCGAAAATATACACTGATATTTGTCCGCTGACATTACCTGTTCTAAGATGCGAACAATTTTCCGTGAGCGAAGCTCGAGGAAAACTGAAAGCTTCGAGGAACAGATTATGTTTATGGACAAATATACGAGCATATTTTCGCGCAACTTGGAGGCTATTGTGGTTATTATCCTTCAAATATTTTGCAACGTGTGTGAAAAATGTTTACGAACAGCTCACTGCGTGGGATGTTTTACGATTATATGAAGAAATGAATATTTCCTTCTTTTGTAACAAGCATAAAACGCTCTCTCGTCTTGAATTAAATTTTAAACGGAGAATTATCGTAGTAGAGGTAAGGTTTGAAAATTATACTTGGATATTTCCCAGTTTTAGATGCGGAATATTTGATCAAGTGATGCGTTTAGACCATTCACGCACGAGCAAAAATATTTGATGGATCATATACTGGATTGTACATTCATTTTGATTGGTTCTTATGATCAAACATACATACGTATACACATGTAGATTAGACGACGGCACCATCAACAACATTTTGCTTTCTCTATCTTGTAACACAGTCAAACGGATTCCGTGTTGCTGTGCGTTTGTTCACTATTAGATAACAGATGACGTGGTCATCATGGAAGTGGTAAAAAGAGGCGCAGTAGAGTGGGTCAATAACGTTCTTACCACACTTAAACGTCTTCTTTGATCTTACAGACGCACGGCAACATAGAACCCACTACTCATTCTTTTTTTCTTTTTTTTTTTTTTTAATTTTTGCAAATGAGGTATTGTTACCTTTTTATCCCGGCCTTGCCAAGATGACATTGATCCATCTGTGCTAGCGTTGCTTGTTGTTTTTCAGAACTATGATCTTTAGGGACATTGCACGACAGATTCATCCACAGAGAGTGATAAACAAAGTTGTATTTGATCTGGATCAGCTTTTAAGACAACCCGGTGACCCTGGAGGAGCACCTGACAACGGGTTATTAGCTGTGGCTAAAGAGCAACTCAAATTAGGACATGCACGGAAACATAGCAACTCCAGGTTTATACACAGAATAAACGCTTGTCTCATTTGTCAGTTTAATTTTTCAATGTGTGAATCAATCTTCTTCAAACTTAAACTTTCAAGATACAAGTTGTATTTCGCCCAGTTCTGACCACCATGGGTCTCCTCTCAAATCAGTTTAGAAAGTTAGGTGTTTGATCATGATAACACCTTCTGTTGTTAAGTTTGTTTGTTGTCATCGCCTATTTTGTGGTTGTTGTATCGGGATTGCGAAAATTTACTCACTGACCATTTGACCCCGAAAACTCCGTTCAAATGGTCATGATAGTTGATGATAGTTTCAACCACCACGCGCGTTTAAACACGAATTATCATGCGCTATCATCGACTATCATTAAGTATCATGTAGTTTGGACGTGTTCAAATTCGAAATGATAATTGATGATAGTTTTTCTGTCCATAGTTTTGCCAACAAACGGGCTCAAACCGAAATGGCAAATGATAAAATGACTGAAGCAGCCGTCAAAATTTCGCAGAATGTCTCCTAAGTCATTCTTATCATCTGCTGGTAGGATTCAGCATCTTTAAGTCGCAGCCTCTTGACTAAAATGTCATTTGCCACCAAAATTTCTGAGCGTACAATATTTGTTTACAATAACGCGATCTTCTTGCGTGAGTTTGTCAACTATCACCAACTAACATGAACTGTTTGAACGCAAACATGATAGCGAATGATAGTTAAAACTATCATCGACTATCATCAACCATCGTGACCGTTTGAACGGGGTTTAAGAGCGATATGCATCTGATTTCTCCTACAGTATCACTCTGAATCAAACATTAAGGTCATGAGAATAAAGGAAATGATCGCAAACTCAAGAAGGTCTTGATTGTTAGACAAATCCTCCCCGAAAGTACTATGACAAATAAATAGGGAACAGTATGGAGAACTTGCATACTGATGTTAGGATGTAGAAAATCAACCAGTGGATTTGTTTTCATTCTGCAGCATCTCTGAAGGAGAAAGATCCACTCCTGAGGAGACGGCTAGACCGCTGAAGTTTGAATCACGGTTTGAGAGTGGCAATCTACGCAAGGCCATTCAGGTAGTTATTGCGATTTTAGGTGCTTTAGTCGTGAAATTGGGAATTTTGTCGATGTGTGACGTTTTGGCTTTCCAATTGTGAATAATCCATGACTCGACTCGACAATACCCAAGACACTGTAACGCTCCAGGTCTTTGAGACAGGGCTTATTGGCGAGGAATTCTCATTAGAGCGTGTTTTTTTGGGGGGGATCTACCTGGCTTCAATATAAACTAATAGTTTAGTTTTTGGTTTTAGGGGAGGATAGGAGGGGGGCCTTATTGAGAGGGAGATTCATTTGTTCGTTTAACCACGCGAATGTTAAGAAGTAATGAACTAGCCTATGAATGATCGAACATACTTGCCTTTTTCAACACATCTTATTTCGTAGGTGCGGGATTATGAGTATGATCTGGTTCTAAATCCTGATATCAACTGTAAACACCATCATCAGTGGTTTTATTTTGAGGTGGGTTCTTACCCTCTTTTCATTGCGTACGACACAACTAACAGTTCCATGTAGAGGAAGATGTTTTTTCGTTTTGTCACGAGCGTGGGACAAAGATAATAGTCCGAACCCCTGTAAGGAATCGAACCTCAGACCTTCGGATTCCGTGCTCCGATGCTCTACCACTGAGCCACAGAGACTCTATGGTGAGCAAGGCCCATAACGAAGTTCATATATGACACGCGTCCTACATATTGCTAGGATCAGCAATGTGGTTAGCGTCATGTTTTGTAAATAGAATAAGAAAGATGGCAAGTTTTGAGCTCGGCAAAGAGATAGAAATCCTAGCAATATGCGGATGCTGATCCTAGCAGTAGGTCGATTACTCATGGGGATTCAGAATTTTTTTCTTTGCCCTACACAAGACGAAAAAACATCTTTTTCTATTTCTTTAATGGGCTCAAAGCTTAGCCTCTTTCGAATTCTACTTTCATGTAGTTACAGCACTCTGATCGCCGGTATGAAAAGAGATAAACTTAGTCGGACGGACCATTAATAAGTGAAGGGAGAGGGTGGGTGTGCAGAACTTTCACTTGGTATCCGGTACACTTTTTTCTGTATAATTTTGTCGGTAATATTTATTGTATGAAGTTTATGCCGCTGGGAAATTCTTGTCAGGGCTAGGCCGTCTGTAATGTTCTTTTTTTTCCTTTACTAAGCTCACTATCTTCAAATTATCGCTAATGGTCCTTCTCTATAGATAGGTGATGGGAGTTGTCAAGAAAGACACAATGCCTTAGAAGGTTAAATAATCAATAGCCTCTATTTGGCGCAAAAATCTACTCGAATATTTGTCCACGGACATCTGCTACGAGATGCAAGAAGTGAGTCTACGAGGAACGGATAATATCTGAGGAAAATTATACGAGTATATTTTAGCGCCAACTGGAGGCTACGCGCAGGGAAAATTGTTTACGAACAGCTTACCGTTTATTGCGTGGGATGTTTACTTTCCAGTGTTCTCTGGCAAGGCTTTATGAGTACAGAAACATGTGTGTTCTTCTGTTACAAAAGCTAAACGCCCTCTGATCTTGAATTACTTCTGACACGAAGACTTTTATTGTAGTGGACGTACGGTTTGAAAACTGGTTAATATCACTTGGGGAGTATCACCGGATATTCCTCAGTTTTAGTCGGGACGTATTCGGTCGCATGACCCATTTAGACCAATCGCGCGCGAGAAAAATATTTGATGGATTACAATTGTGGATATTGGCCCTTCAAGTCTGTGCGTTTCTCTTCATTTCAGGTTAGCAATATGGATGCTGATATTCCTTACAAATTCAACATCGTTAATTGCGAGAAGATCAATAGTCAGTTCAACTTTGGTAAGTTGGTTTTTATGAGTAATAGAATTTCCATTTATTCGTGTAGGCTTTTCATGACACTGATTGTTTCTTATGTTTGCTTCAAACTTTTGGCGGGAAGTTGGCGTACGTTGGCCGGTGTATCGCGCTCAGAAGGCCATCCGACCAAAAAATCGGTGCTCGCTGGGGTTGCAAAACTCACGAAGTACTCAGAAAGCTTAAGATGTTTCTTAAATTATGGAGAGCGCATTTCGATTTATTGTCGAAACGAAAACTAAAGTAACCGCAAAAGCTAATCAGAGGAAAGGAAAATGTAACAAGGAGCCAATGAGGACGCAGAGTCAAAATGGGCAAACGGCTTAAAGCGCGGGAAAACGCGGGTGACTAAGTCGTGGTTGGTTTTAGTTTTAAATCTGATTGGTTTAGAGGATAGCGCAAGCTTTGGACTCATCACAGAGCGACGTAAAGTAAACCTCAGCAATCTGGAATTTGAAAATTGCTTTGTAACTTGAAGATGATTTTTGGGGACATGATTCTGTTCTTGCAGGCTACAAACCTTTTTTAAGACTTATTACGATTTCATAGTCGGGATGACATATGCATGGTTCCTCAAGGAAATGGTCTAGGTAACCCAATACTTTATTCGCTATTGTAGGTATGCAACCAGTGATGTATTCCACATTAGAAGCTCAGGAAGACCGCGTCGGCTGGGTTCGAGTCGGGACTAATGTTTGTTATTATAGAAATTACTTCACACGGAGCCGTGAGGTGACTGGTGGACCGACCGGCAAAACCTACTACACGTCAACTTTCACCGTGACCTTCCCTCACACAAATGATACATGTTACTTCGCTTATCACTACCCCTACACCTTCACTATGCTTCAGGTAGGTCTTCCCATGTTACCTTGTCATCTTTCTGTGTCGAGGTTTGTACAGTGTCTGGAGTTTTTGAAGAAGTTCGGAAATCTTTCAGTTAGTTTTCCATGAAATATAAGGCCGGATTAACATCTGAAAAACTTCACTAAAAAAAAATCTAGAATGTTTTTTTTATTAACAGGATGTTGCTTATTGAATGAAATGTTAGTCGTCTAATCGCATCTCTTTGACAAAATGTTTTAACAAAGTTTGAGAGACTTCTTAGGTTTAATCCGTGAATCTGCCATCATAGATATCAGAACACATTTTATCGTAGTTTATGTGTGTTTGTGCCGGTGTGTTTGTGCCGATGTGTTTTTAAGTAACCACGGAGAAGTGTTGAATTTCGCCTTAAAAACGTTTTTTGTAAATCTAGCCGTAAGACTCTTTATATCCTTCCTTCACCTCAAAGAAATCAAAACTAGAAAATGATATTCCGTTTTGGGTACCTTACTCTTTTTACGTAGAGTCACTTATCACGCTTGGAGTCCGGTTTTAGTACAAACGATATCTTTTACCGCCGCTTGACTCTGTGCAGCACTTTGGCGGGAAATCCTTGTGACGTCATCACCATCACGGCACAGCCTCAGGGCAGAGATGCAAAATCCATTGAGCTTCTGAGTAAGTGATTTGCGCCGTTCCTTGTGTTGGACAAAATTTGAGGTGTTGTTTTCAAAGGCACGATCTTTACTTTATACGTTTTAGGGAACAGGCCATATATTTTCCTCACAAGCCGTGTTCATCCCGGCGAAAGTAATTCAAGTTGGGTCATGAAAGGTAACGCGATCTTCATATGGTGAATTGCATTCATTATGTGTTATCTTTTTTATTATTATTATTATTATTATTATTATTATTATTATTGGTCGAATCCTTCAAACAATGGTTTTAATAAAACCTGCGATTTATCGCCGCGTGTAAGACCTCTTCCCGCTGTAACGGGCCCTTTACAGGCACAGCAGCCCATAAAAACATCGGCAGCCGATTACAGAAAAAGTTATCGAAACCCTACCTTAGAATGACCGAAGTGAAATAAATTGATTGTTCAGTTCGGGATAGTTATCAAATTTAATAACTCGGACCAAAACAAAACAGTAACCAATCGCTGCTCAGATTCACTTTCACGTGACATGTTACTGAGACAACAATAATGTATTCAACATGGCGTCCGAAGGCCGAACAACACTGAGTGTTCTAAACTGATTGTTTTCGACTGGCGTCTTCTTCTTCTTTCTCAGTCTCAATAATTTTCATTCGTATTATTTTACTTACTTGGCGGACGGCGAAGCGCCCAGGTTTTTCAGCGCTCGTCTCGGTACGTTCCAACTGTATATCTGCGCAGGAGAAAAAAGTTTATTTTCAGTGATATTGCTACTTCATCAGAGAATCGTCCAAATAACAAACGGCTACAGCCCATGGGCGAAAAGAAAGATGAAATCATAGCGTATTACCAGCGCGAAATCGTGTAAATGGCAGGATTGCTTTAAATAAAAGCTTCTCGAAACATGCGAGACGTTGGAGAATCCATACTGCTACTCACTTAACGTACCTCCAAGGCCGCATCCACTCCTTCCTCTTCCATTTCTGATTTGACCGGTGAAATCCTTCTCTCCACTTCTCCGAGATATCCCTCGCTGCAATCGAATGGTAGATTACAAAAGTGCAGATTGAAACTTCTTCTGGGCCAGGAATACTTAAGGCAAGGGGAAATGTATGAACAGAATGGTGAACCAGCTACTGAATCTATTACCGACACAGCAGAGTGAAGAATTAATGTGTCTCCTTCACTTGCAAACGTACTTGGTCTTACTCCAACTTATTGTCATCAAGGAACACCAACAGAGAATGAAAATATCCAATTAAGAGTGAAATTCCCTGACCTTGAAGAACTTTTTTTTCCTGACCATTTCCTGACTTGTGGCAATTAAGATTAAGTTAAATCTGTACTCAAGCCAAGTTGACTATCCAGCAGGAACTTATCCTTTGCATGAAGTGACAGCGGGCTCTCGTTTGACAAAGAATTAGTTTGGTTTTGGTTAATAGGATTCTCTTCGGGCAGTAACAGCACAATGAAAGGAACTATCATTGTTTCAAAAAGGTTTCCTTGCAAACTGAATAAAGTGCAGTGATAAGAAATCGTAAGTTAGACAACAATGTTCAAATTATGACAAACAGAAAGATTAAAACCATCGTCGAAAACACAAAGTGGCGGTTGGCGACTGATTTAGTGGTAAACCAAGACCATCCCATGCACTTTTTTCCTGCAGTTTGCATCGCGATAATTAACAGTTACGTCGAAAGAAAATGGATTTAAGAACAGCTCGCTATTTTTTTTTGACTCCGGAAAAATTAATCTTTTAACCTAAACTTTGGGGCAAAGCTTTTTGAAAAAGTTATCTCAATCAAACGTGTCATTTCAACTGTCCTGTTACATCTGCGCCCAAAATGTCGCCTCTATCACCCCATGACGACCACCATCTTGAGAACACGCGAAGAGCGGCATCTATTCACTAATTTCCAATATAATTATTGGTATATACGGCGATTAATAACAAATAAACAGCGAAAATTTCGAATTGGGTACAAAAATCTTCGATTCTCGAAATGGTCGTCATGTTTTGACGTAAAGTGGTTATCAAATCTGATAATTATATCGGACTGCTTTTTGCAAAGACAAAAAGTAACGTTTATAAGGGTCTAAATTCTCGTTTCCATATGGCATTCGGATACTAGGAGATTGAAAATTATGCAATTCATACGAACAAAAGGAGTCAATTAAAGAGGAGATTCACAATTTAATCGCACCAAAAAATGCGCTACCAAAACGTACTTTAAATTTGCTTCACCTTGAAACTTTTTATTTGTACTGAGTAACCGTTCTACCTTGCTCTTCTGAGATCAAGACTAGTTATTTGGCTTTTTAGATTTTTTTTTAGACTTAATGTTGATATTAACTTCAATCTGTTAGTCAGCTCATGCTATATGTGACTCTACAGCATTTTTTGTCTCACGCAGTATTGTTTTCTTATACAGGAGTTCTAGACTTTTTAATGAGCAACTTCTACACTGCACGTCATCTGCGGGAGACTTTCATATTCAAGATTGTACCCATGCTTAACATTGACGGAGTCATCAATGGCTGGTAGGGTCTTAGTCTTGAAGAAATTTAGCCGCTGTCCTTCCGTTTTATTGTACAACGACTTTTTAAATATGTATATTTCTTCCACTTATACAGCAATTCTGAACGAGGGAATCAGTGTCTTTCTTGTGAATTTTTAGCCATGAATGATGTCTGATGTGTGCAGTATTGTAAGAAATTTTTTTCAGCATTGCATTTTCGACCAATTCTTTTGGCACCGTCAACTATTCTCCCCACCCACCCAACCCACCCACTCAATCCCTCACTTCCTCATGACCCATAAGGAGAAACTTTATACCTGTAAATAACCTTGCTCTGTAACAGTACAATACTGTGAATCTTTCATGAAGTTAATTCATTAATAGAGCTAAATACAGTTTTGTTTGATGAAATACAAAGACTTTTTTTATGGGGATTTTACCCTTGTTCTTTACAAAAATTTTGTTGAACCTTTTTTGCAGCCACCGATGTTCTCTGTCGGGTGACGATTTAAACAGGCGCTGGATCAATCCCAGCATGCTACTTCACCCCACTATTTATCACGTGAAGGGATTGCTGTTGTACTTACAGTCTATTGAAAAGACCCCTTTGGTGAGTAGCATTTGCTTGTAGCCGTGAGACAGATCAATTGTGCCGAACCTAAGTTGTGTTAATCCCGGCTACTAAACAATTTTGAGCTGTTATGTGATCGTGTTGTTTCATTCTTTTACTGCGTGGACAGAATTTAATTTACATGACTTACCATGGTGTACCATCTTGGATAAATGAGAGGAACACAACAATCATTTCTTCCTCTTCCCAGGTCATAGTCGACAAAAAAGTGCGATTTGGTCCTCGCGCTTACTCATCATTCTCTCTTTTTTTCTCCTGAGCAAAATTGAAGCTGCTTTCAGATCGGCTACATTTTCCCTCGACAGAAGCTCTTCTTAACTCTCTGACCCCTTAGAGTGACTAGCATCTAATTTCTCCTTACAGTATCACTCTCGATTCACACATAAAGGTCATGAGAATAAAGGAAATGATCACCAACTAAAGAAGCTCTTGACTGTTAAACAAATTCTCCTTGTCGACACCATAGGAAGGAAATATACAAAGAACAGTGTTGAGAATATGCGTACTGATGTTAGGATGTAACAGGATTAAATCCGCCTCATGTTCTTCTTCTTGTAGGTTTATTGTGACTTCCATGGTCATTCACGTAAGAAGAATGTATTTATGTATGGCTGCAGCACAGCTGCCACACTGGCTGCTAGTTCGTCTAGTTCTGGTGAAGTCGACAGTAGTGACTTGGTAGATTCTGTCAGGGAACGTGTAGCTGAACTATCTGGCTCAGAATCCACCAGTAGCATGGACCCGAGTGACATAGAGGAAGATCCCGGATATAGGGTGAGTGTAAAAAAAAAAAATCATGCTTATCAACAAAACCTTTTTCCTGGGAGCTTGGAAGATGACAGAGATACTAAAGACACGCCCTGTGAGCATTGAACTTTTGCAAAGATCGAAGTCAGGTCTTTGATACTCATGAGAAGGAAGTCCTCATTGTTCCCAGGGTCTTTAATTAGTCTTTTGCGAAGTGATTGGTAAATATTTGCATATGCTGCGAGTTTTTTCTTTCTCGCACTAATAGAATCATAGGATGATGATCATATCGCAAACTCTCGTGTTCGGTTAGCATCGAACTGAAGTCATTATTTCTCTTAGTTAGTACGTGTGCTTCACTGTACGGCCCGCTAAATTAAAATGTTTCGCTTCGCGCTTGGGTCATAAATCCAAGTGGAGAAACTTGATCCGTAACTTTCAGTGCGGACTTCGAATTCGGTTAGTAGGAGGTACTAAGTTCAGGGGGAAAAAGATGCTGGAGAACGAGTACTGAAATCAAATGAAGAATAATGAGTGAAATTTTTGAATAATAGTCTTGCGAGACTACAATTACGTTCGTGAATTTTAGGTTATCAAACTTTCTACAATGTTAGCGGCATTAAAGAGCTGTGCAATATAGGTGGTTTTCTTAAAAGTGGCACTCGGTAGGTTTTTAAAAGAGAATGTTTTTTATTTATGAATTATCATTCCGTTTCTATGTCCTCTTTTTTATTCTCTGCTTCTACTCTTTGGAGAAGATCTTATTGCAATTAGCGGCTAGTTTTACCCATCCAAAAAGCATCTTGAAATATCACCAAGGAACTCTGTTAAGTAAGCACTTTTGCCGAACCAAGCTGACTATTTCTTTTATTTATGCAGACGTTACCTCGAGTTCTTCACAACATTGCACCAGCGTTTTCGCTGGGCAGCTGCAGTTTCATTGTGGAACCTTCCAAAGAATCCACGGCCAGAGTTGTGGTGTGGCGAGAAATTGGAGTGGTCAGGAGTTATACCATGGAGAGTACATACAGTGGCTGTGATCAGGGACCTTATAAGGTGAGTTCTTATTGGATAAAGCTAGTGTAAAAAACATAAAAACACAAATTGAACAGACACTGTTGTGAATGTTACTGGGTGGAACTAGAACACCTTTGGTCCCGCTTTTTCGAAGGGTAGATAATGTTATCCCGTGGATAAATCTCTGTTCAGTGGATGGCGCGGTATTCTTTATTCAGACTTATCCGTTCGATAAAGTTATCCTCCCTTTGAAGTCCCTGCTCTATAAATGCTGACAGAGTCGGATTTCTCTCTGTTTTTAAGTTAAGAGAAGGAAGTTTTCATTCCGTCAGGGAGTTAGTTAGTTAGTGAGTTAGTGAATGAGTAGGTGAGGGAGTCTCTCAGTGAGCCAGTCTGTCTGTTCGTCAGTCAGGCGTTGAGTGAGTCAGTCGGTGAGTTATTCAATTAGTCAGTAATTTATTCAGTGAGTCAGCCAGTTGGTTAGTCAGTTAGTTAGTTAGAAAGTTAGTCAGTCAGTAAGGCAGTCAGTAAGGCAGTCAGTGAGTCAGTAATTCAATCAGAGAGTTAGTGCGTCTGGTAGTCATTTTGTGAATCAAGCAGGCAGTTAGTCAGAGTTAGTTTGTCAGTCAGCAAGTCAGGTAGTCATTTTGTCTCTGAATAAGTGAACGAGTCTGCCAGTTAATCCGTTTGTTAGTCGGCTGTGAGTCAGTCATTGAGACAGTGAGTATTTATTAATCAACACATAAACTTACATTTTTGTTAAAAGGGTTGCCACGTGGGAACAAGAGAACTGGAGGAAATGGGCCGTTTCTTCTGTGCCGGGCTTCTCCGTGTTGGACGCTCCTACTTCTATCAAAACAACCAGCAACAATCGCCATCAAACGACAATGCAGATGTGATGCGCAATGCTGATAGTTCGTGGTGAGTTCCTCGCGTGAAACCTCTCCACTATTTCAGCTCCACGTGCGGTGTATCATGATAGAAAGCAATTTTTAATTATTTCTTAGACACCTTTTACATGTACTTGTCTCACTGTTGGTTGAAAAACAAAAAACTACATAAACAACGAAATTCTTCTTTCCCTTAGGATAAGGACAAGTGAGCTGTTTGTTCCCTGTGAACTCGTCACAAGTGGAGTTGTCATTTGATTGTAATCTAATTCTTGAAAACACAAACTAGAGAAAGCAGCAGTCAAACGTCTGCGCATGTGCAAACGTTGTATTTTTTACTGGGTGGCGTGCTTTCAGGCTGTGAGAACCAAGTTGTCTCACACGAGTCACAAACAACCACACGAGCCAGTAAGTCTCGGTGTTTCAAAAGCTAAGAACATTTTTGGTAAAGCTCAAAACGGAATGTTAAATCAACAGGATATCTTTACTTGAATAACCTTTGTGTTCGAAAAGTCTCGAGTTTTCCTTTTGCCCACATTTGTTTCCCTTCACATATTTCCTTGAACGTTTCAGTTTTCTTTCCCATAGTTGCGCGACGCGGTTGTTTCTTATGTTTCTCTCAAAATTTACCCGGGAAATTGGCGCGCGGGTGGCCAAAATTGTTCCCCTCATGCATGCCTTATATTTAATAGCAGTGTTATGCTCAGGTACCTGAGGACTTCAAGTGACGGCCAAAATCCACTGTCAATAATTAGTTGAACGGTGAAATTAGGGGTAATTTGAGCAGTGGAAAGTAGAAATTGAACAGATTGAACTATGAAATTCTATTTTAGCCCAGCATAGACAGGACGAACTGTTTTAACTTAAGAGGCTGAGGAGTACCAATGCTCAAGATAAATTTAGGCTCGTAGACCTGCGTCCCACTGACTCATAGTGCGACCTTGAATGACGTCATGGAAAAGGTTCAGGAAAACTTGTCCCAAGGGTCGTCTCGGTTCTTAATCTTCATTGTAATATCGAAATAAACCAATCTAAGAATGAAATTAACAAATAGAAAAATAATATATATGCCGTGAGTAAAGCTATCTGTAAACTGTGCTCCAAAGGGAAAGGTTTGTCATTAGGTACCATGTTAATCCCGAATTAATTCGCATCTTTAGTCTGGACAATTGCACCGGTATGCGAGAAGAGCCAGTGAATAAGTATTTATATCAAAGAGATTTTGAACCAAATTTACATAAACAGCATAAAAGTTAAATTGATACATGATTTTAAATTAGAAGTTACAGCTATTTGTTATTACTGTATGCTAATTAATATTTAGATTGCTATATTAAATTAGTACAATGTAGTTTATTTTTATAACATGTAAAAGTGAACTTTGTTTATGTCTGTCAACATTGTAATCTTTGGTAATGAGTAAATTTTTAGAAGAGACTTTATTATCATAGAAGAATGTATCTTTCCATGATCATTTATGAAAATTATACGTTGACTTTTTAACCAAAAGTGGATTTTATTTTGTTCATTGGGATCTGTGTACAAGAACTCACTTTTTGTAGCCGCATAATTTCGACCCTATTACCTTGGATATTGTCTGTTCTGTTTACGTCGGCGAGCATTTCTTGTGCTGGAGCAAGTGATTTAGATATCATGTAAATGATTCATGCTTCTCACTTTGTCAAGCCATTCCTTCAGGTAAATAACTTATGGGAATATACATTTGGATAGAAATACGGTGTTTATCTTTCTCATCTTTCTCATTGTAGCCCTTGTAAAATTGATTTAGAGTCAAACGTGGAAGAAAGAGCGTAACGCACATAGGTTCATTCTCGTCCTCTGGTAGGCTTCAATATTTTTTAACTTGCATTCTCTTGACTAAAATTTCGTTTGCCACCGAAATTTCTGAGCGCACAATGTTTGGTTACAATAACACGATCTCATTGGGTGAGTTTGTCAACTATTACTTACTATCATGGACTGTTTGAACGCAAACATGATAGTCAATGATAGTGAATGAGGGTTGAAACTATCATCGACTATCATCAACCATCGTGACTGCGGAATACATCACTGGTTGCATACCTACAATAACGAACAAAGTACTGGGTTACCAAGACTATTTCCTTGGGTAACCATGCATATGTTATCGTGGCTACGAAATCATACTAAGTCTTAAAAAGAATCACGTCCCCAGAAACCAAGTTACAAAGCAATTTTCAAATCCCGGATTGCCAAGGTTTACTTTACTTCGCTCTGTGACAAGTCCAAAGCTTGCGATATCCTCCAAACCAATCAGATTCAAACTAAAACCAACCACGACTTGGTCACCCGCGTTTTCCCGATTTTTTTCCTCTGAATTTGAATTACTTCTGACACGGAGACTTTTACCGCAGTGGACAGAGGGTTTGAAAATTGGTTAATATCACTTGAGAAATATCACTGGATACTCCTCAGTTTTAGCCAGGGCATATTCGGTCACATGACCCATATAGACCAATCGCGCGCAGAAAAAATATTTGATGGATAATGGCCCTTCAAATCTATGCGTTTCTCTTCATTTCAGGTTAGAAATATGGAAACGAAAACCACAGCAATCACAAAAGCTAATCAGAGGAAAATAATATGTAACAAGGAGCCAATGAAAACGCAGAGTCAAAATGAGCAAACGGCTTAAAGCGCGGGAAAACGCGGGTGACGAAGTCGTGGTTGGTTTTGGTTCGTATCTGATTGGTTTGCAGGATGTCGCAAGCTTTAGACTTGTCACAGAGCGAAGTAAAGAAATATGTCTGGAATTTTAGAAGAAGTTTGGAAATCTGCCAGTTTGTTTTACCATGAATTATAAGGTCGGATTAACATCTGACAAGCTTCACTAAAAAATCTAGAAGGTCTTTTCTAGAACAAGATCTTGCTTCTTGAGTGAAACGTTGGTCGTCTCATCGCATCTCTTTCAAAATGTTGAACAAATTTTCGACAACCTGAGCTCATCATCAGAGTCAAGTGAATAATTGTTGTCAGTCGAATGTTCTTTGTCCGGTTTGTATAAACTGATTAGTCAGTTTTGCCGTGATGCTATTGGCTGTGAGACTGGGTGGGTTGTGATTGGTCGGTCTCGATCCGTTAGTGAAGTTAGGTCGTTCTGTTCGGTTCGTTTGTAACGCTAATTTCGTGAATGAGTCGTTTGTATGGTGTCGGTAGTAGATGACACCTGTTGAGGGGAGTCTGTTCCAAGTTAGTGAACCAACTTTCTAAGGTCAGTCGTTGAAAGTAGTTGCTGCTGTAGGCTAGGCATTGCGCAGAGTCCCAGTCAATAATGTGGTTCGTAAGTCGGTGATGTTCAGCAAAGTGATTGTTGACATCGCCTTTCCATCGCAGAGTCCCAGTAAATAGTGTAGTTTGTAAGTCGGTGATGTCCAGCAATGTGATAGTTGACATCGCCTTTCCTCGTCGCTCGTTTGTGCTCAGTCAGTCTAGTTGTGAGGTTTCTGCCAGTCTTACCGATGTAGGAGGCGTGACAGTCGAAGCAATTGATCTTATAAACAGCTCCCTGTCCGTTCCTCGGTTGGTCTTTGTCTTTGACGCTAGTCAGTAACTGACGTAGTGTGGTAATAGGTTTGTGAGCCACGCGGACATTGAATGGTTGTAGGATGCGCGAGACGTTCTCAGATATGCCCTTTATGTACGGTATGGTTGCTGTAGTCGTAGCAGTTGTGTTGTGGCTAGCTTCGGTAGTAGTAGTAGGTCGGTGAGTGTTTTGTCGGATGAGGTCTTCGTTGTAATTGTTCTTTGAAAAAGCACGGTCAAGGTACTTCTTCTCGTCGGATAAGCTGTCTGTCGTGTTGCATACTAGTTACGTTTGTCGCGCAAGAGTCCTGATAATTGTGGCTTTGTGTGACGTCGGGTTGTAGGATGACTCGTCCAGTAATCTTTCGGTATGTGTCGGTTTCCTGTAAACTTTTGTCCGTAGTGAGTTGTTGTCACGGCTTACCAGGCAGTCTAGAAAAGGTGGTTTACCATTTCCTTTGACCTCTCTAGTAAACTGTATGTCAGTGTTTTGTGCGTTAAGGTGGTGGTGGAATGCGTCGATTTTGTCGTGTCGTACGGCGGTGAATAGGGACCTTTAGCAACGAGAGTTTTCATAGCGACGGCGACGTCGATGGACAAAAGAGACTAGGGCGAGGACGGCGTTCTTTCCGCCAAAAATATAAACCTTTAGCACCCTTCATTTTCCGACGGCAACTTGCCGAGTTCTTGTAAAATGAACAAATTTAAGACTTGTCGCGAGATACTTTTGCTTAGCTATGCAGACAACAACATTTCGGACGAAGAATTTGTTCCATCACACGACTGTTATCGTTCGAAAAATCCAGATCTCGGCTATCAATCGTATCATGATATTTTTGATCCAGAAAACATGAATTCAGTCGACTGCAAGGCCGACCTTCGAGTTGAAAAGGCAGACCTTCCTCGCCTTGAAGATGCCTTACATATTCCCGCAGTGTTCCATTGCAAACAGAGAAGACTTTGTGATGGTTTGGAGGGACTGTATTTGCTGCTGAGACGAACAAGTTATCCCTGCAGATTCAGAGATATGATTCAACGTTTTCCAAGACCAGTTTCTGTATTGAGTTTAATTACAAATTAAGTTATGGATTTTATTTATGATAACCACTGACACCTCATAACAAAGTGGAATAGAGATGTACTAAGCTCAGTTGCTCTTCAACAGTATGCTGAAACCATCTCAAGGAAAGAATCTCCTCTAGATAACTGCTTCGGTTTCATAGATGGGACGGTCCGACCAATCTCTAGACCTGGGAATGGACAGAGGGTTGTGTCAAATGGACACAAAAGGGTTCATGGACAAAATTTTTAGTCCATTGCCTTACCGAATGGACTTGTAGGAAACATCTTTGGGCCAGTAGGTAAGAACCTAAATATTTTCACTGAATCTTAATAAGATTAATTACGATGTTATTCATATGGTTCCTGAAATCTAAGATTTTTTATGAACTTTTGTTTCAGAGGGACGAAAACATGACACGGGTATGCTCGCTGACTCTGGGCGTCTGAACGACATGGGAAACTTCGCGTTTTCCCCAGCTGGCCAACCTATGTGCCTTTATGGCGATCCGGCTTATCCCGTCCGGATTCATCTTCAGGCGCCATATTGCCAGGGACGTCTAACCCAACAAGCGGAAGATTATAATAAAGCAATGAGTGCAGTACGAGTGTCCGTGGAATGGCTTTTCGGGGATATAATTAATTCCTTTGAGTTTTTAGATTACAAAAAAAATATAAAGATAGGTCTAAGCAGCGTAGGAAAAATGTATATTGTATGTGCTTTACTGCGAAATGCCATAGCTTGTTTATATGGTAATCAGACGTCTGAGTTTTTCGACCTGAAGCCGCCAACTCTAGGGGAGTATTTCCAGTAATCAGATTTTAAAAAAAAATAATAACCATTGACAAAATTTATCATTCAAAGTATGTATACCTGTGAACATGGGGCTTCCAATTTAGTCCAAGATGCAATCTTTAAAAGTTCTGAAATACATGTAAAAAACATGTTTAAATGAAAGCATTTTGATAGCTGATTACTTATCTAGTAGCTTGTGCACAACAGTCAAAAATGCAGTATTCATTTGTTGCTGCTGGAGGATCGTAGCTTTCATCATTTGCTGTTGACTTTCCTGTTCCTGTTGTTTTGCACGTAACTCCTGTTGTCTAATTTCGCGTTCAGCTGCTGCTTTCTCTCGCAAAAAGTCGACCAATGGTTCTGCACGTCTCGACTTACGACGTTCTGGAGAAGCTCCACCTTCGTATGAATTGCGTTTCTTGGTCTCTCTAAGGCTCTCCATCGCTTTTTTCTTGATATCCTCAACAGTCTCGTTGTCCTTGAGTTGCTGTTTCGATGTTGTTTCGATGTTGTTTCGATGCTGATTCAGTCTTTGCTTGCATGGTATCTTCTCTCTCGAATAACTCCTCGACCAGTGCTTCCTTCTCCGTAAACTCTTCCACAGAAATCCCACTCGCCAAAGCCCACTTCCTCGCTTATCTTTTTGCTGAACTTTCTTCGGGGAAGGCTCCACCGCTCTCGAACAGCTTTTTTGTCCTTCATTTGGAATTTTGGAGAATGAATTTCCTTCAGATGGTCGATTATTGCTTCCCAAGCCAGTCCACGCGCGGGACTTCCTTTCTTTGCTCCAAAAAACATTTCTTGCTAGCATTTCTCTCAGAGAGGTAAAACATAATGCATAATTTTGACAAGAATAAAGAATCAAAGAAGTTAAAACCGTGGCCAAGTAATTTTGCTCACTTGGATTTTTGCACTTGATCATCAGATGCCGCCATATTCAGTCTGAGTCTACAGCTGTTCTTTTAAAATACGATGAATACGTTTTACACCCGAAGCTATTCAAGTAAATTACGAGAAGGTATTCTCTTAAGTTGTGAAAACTAAAAGGCCAGGAAAAAAAAACGAATATAGGCGGACAAAAGCCTCGTATCTAGTCACGTTTCTACACACCGTGAAAACAAGCCTTTTGAGGTCGGCGCCGAGCCTAGACGACTTCGCACCAAATGTACGACCTCAAACGGAAATGAAACTTCACTTCCGAGTGCCGTCGCCGCCCTGAAAAGTAACGAGCTCAAGATCCGACTACAGCAGACATCTGGGACGGCAAGCGGAAGTGAAGTTACTGCCAGAATTACTTCCGGCTGCTGCGGTTGTGAGGTTTCCCGCCGTAGCGGCCTTGTCTGTGACGTGAAGGAGGCCATTTTGCCGTCGCCGCTAAAACGTTAGAAAAATTTAGCAAAATAACGCCGTTTGAACTTACTGTGAGCGAAAATTGTTGGCAATTTTGACAGTTTATTGTTATGAGAGGATGTCTGTGAAATAACTATGCAAAAATAAACTATTTGTTCGAGGAAATTTTAACTTTATTCGTTTGCCTTTCTCAGTTCGTCACTAGTACTGGCTCAATGTCAACAAAGAAAACAACCCAGTAAGTTTAATAATTTCACTACTTGTCTTTATTTCAATTGACAATTCGTAGACTTCTTCGGGCATAAATTGATGGCCATTATATTATTCCATTTGTCTTTTCTCGAATTTAACAACAAGGCTCATCTGAGAATATTTTCATTATCAACAGTTTCGGTAATGTTTTTTTTTTCAGCCATAAAAGGCGTCCTAGATTTTGAAGCGTGAAAAGTTTGTATCGTCAACGTAGCCACCAAAGCGGTATATATTGTGTGTCGGCAAGTCGAAAGGACGCTTTCCTCGATGTTCTGCTTCACAATTTCTGCTACAACGACAGAAACTGGAGACCTCATAGCAGTACCGTATAACTGTTTGTAGTGTTTACTGCTGTAGTGAAAGTAATACCCCGTTCACACCATCAAAACATGTCTAATTAAACAAAGTTTAATGAAACCATGTTTAGTTAAGCATGGTTAACTGATCAACAGTTCACACCGAACAACAAGAGCTGACAACAATGCAGCCTCATGTTCATGTTCAGCCTCGAGTTCATGTAATTGTAATTGACGTAAAATGTTACAACATCATACAGCCACAACATGTAAAATGTAAACAAAATAGCTGATGGGCGAAATATCGTGCTTTTGTTTTAGAAAACATGGAGAGAAGAAAGCCGAGGAAATCAACATTTCTGCCGTAGTATATTCACCGTGAATTTTAAATGTTACGCTTTTAAAACAAGAATTAGGAAAAATTACTTACTTCTCATCAGAAGTTTCTTTTGCTGCCATGATCAACAAGCTGAATTAAATGATAAGACATAAGCTTTTTGCCAACATTACTGAAAATCAAATTTCCAACCTTGTGTTGTTTCACAAAAAAGCAATTTTCCAGGTAGTATTAATTTCAACGTCAAGAAAAATACATGCTCAATAATGTGCGAAAATAATTCTGGACAACATGGGGAGTAATGAGGGAAAAAAAACCGACATTTCACTGAAACAAATTCTAACAGTGATCAAACGTCTTCACCACGACGAGAAACCGTGATCTGTGTGATCTTGGATCACAAATCTTACACGTTATTGATTAGGTCTTCGTTTTTTAGAAAACGCTTGGTCAAACTACTGTGAAGTGGATACTGGCCGAAGTTTTTTTTACGTTTTTGTAGACTTGAACGAAGTTGAGCGAAAAGATTTCGCTTTAAAAAGAATCAAGAACGACTTGTTTATTTTGAAAGTCAGGAAAGAAAGCTAACTGTTGCAACGCAATATACCCACGAGAGACTTTTATGTTTCCTTTGTTTTACTGTCTTTTGCCACTTTTTGCAACTACATCGCCGACGTTGTCCAAAAATTACGAACTTTTCAAGACCGCTCCACCCAATTCTTTTTTTGAGCGGGATCAAAGCGGGAAATCCCGAGCGGCCATCTTGCCAACTCGGTTAGCCAGTCAGAAAACAGGATTTGCCTCATATTGCCCACGGGCGCTGCCAGCGATGTAATAACGTGTATTACAACGCCTCACATAACGTCGTAACGATGTGTCATGAGTTAGACGTCTTCCGCATGTTGATTTTCATTAATAGACACATGTTGCCGTGGTACAAAGAATCAGCCGCTAGCAAATCACGAGAGGAAAGACAAATAATTCTGCTATCATCCGTAGCAGCAGCAGACTTTCTAATCATAAGTTCTGCTCGTGTTAGGCCCTTTTCGACGAGGCCTTGCTCTCCACTTCATAAATTACACCCATGAATCTCATCTGCGTTTCCGTTGTTTGAGAAATTTTCATTAAAAAGCTGTGTGATATATATGGTTTTCTTATGAGTGGTACTTAGCGGGTTTGTAAAAGAGTCAGTTTAATTGTTTAATTTCTGAGTAATCATTCCGTGTCTATTTCCTCCTCGTCATGCTTTGCTCTTTTTATTCTCTACCTCTACATTCTGGAGAAGATCTCATTGTAATTAGCGGCTATTTTTACCCATCCAAAAAGCATCTTCAAATATCACCAAGGAACTCAGTTAAGGAAGCACTTTTGCCGAACCAAGCTGACTATTTCTTTTATTTATGCAGACATTACCTCGAGTTCTTCACGACATTGCACCAGCGTTTTTGCTGGGCAGCTGCAGTTTCATTGTGGAACCTTCCAAAGAATCGACGGCCAGAGTTATGGTGTGGAAAGAGATTGGAGTGGTCAGGAGTTATACCATGGAGAGTACATACAGTGGCTGTGATCAGGGACCTTATAAGGTTAGTTCTCATTGGATAAATCTAGTGTGCAGAACGTAAAAACACAAATTGAACAGACACCGTTGTGAATGTTACAACTAGATCACCTTTGGCCCCGCTTGTTCGAAGGGAAGATAATATTATCCAGTGGATAAATCTCTATTCAGTGGATGATGCGGTACTTTTTCTTCACACTTATAGGTTGGTTAACGTTATCCTCCCTTTGAGGACCGGAACTGGACCCGGTTCTACAAATGCTAACAGAGTCGGATTTCTCTCTGTTTTTAAGTTAAGGGAAGGAAGTTTGCATTCAGTCAGTGAGTTAGTTAGTTAGTGAGTGAGTGAAGGAGTAGGTGAGAGAGTCTCTCAGTGAGCCAGTCACTCTGTTCGTCAGTCGGTGAGTTATTTAATTAGTTAGTAATTCATTCAGTGAGTCAGCCAGTTAGTTAGCCAGAAAGTCAGTCAGTGAGTCAGTAATTCAGTCAGTGAATTAGTGCGTCAGGTAGACATTTGGTGAATCAGGCAAGCAGTTAGTCAGAGTTAGTTTCATTAGGTTTCAGTTCAGTTCAGTTCTGACACGTGTTTGCTAACTAGTTTTACAGAAGTTACACCGAATGATCAATTTAACGGGAAACCGGCGACAGAAGTAAGTTTCAGTTAGCTTAGCTTGTACTGTCGGTTTATTATCCACTTTTATAATCGGTGTTGTAAATACACGAATGTTTCATAACTACATTGATTAATTGTATGTTTCAGATCGAATAATTCCTTCAAATAAACTTGTTGATTATACGATTGATGGTTTCCCGGCGTTTTGTGTCAATTATCCAACGGTCCAGGGCCGTTTCTTCTGTGCCGGGCTTCTCCGTGTCGGACGCTCCTTCTTCTATCAAAACAACCAACAACAATCGCTTTCAAACGACAATGCAGATATGATGCACAATGCTGATAGTTTGTGGTGAGTTCCTCGTATAAAACCTCTCCACAATGTCAGTAAAAAATCTTCATCGTAATCTCTTGTTATCTCACCGTCGGAGCCGCTCGCTTTCCTTTAGATAATTGAAATTTACCCGCCAATTTCCTCTGTATTCCCGCTGCGAACAGAAGCCCTTTTGTACGTTCTGTGAGGACCGTTTACACTGCAATTTTATTAGTTTTACTCTCATATAAAGTTTGTAAAAGGGGAGGAACGATTTTTAATTATTTCTAAGACACCTTTTACTTGTAATTGTCTCGCTGTTGATGAAAAAAAAACAACACCATAAACAAAGAAATGTTTCCACGAGGCTGTTTATGTTTAATTTGAAAATGTAAATTGCTGCAAATATCTTGTCGAGCTAACGTGGAGTTTCTTCTTTCCCTAAGGGTAAGGACAAAGGAACTGTATATTCCTGTGAACTCGTCACAAGTGGAGTTGTCATTTGATTGTAATCTAATTCCTAAAAACACATACCAGAGAAAGCAGCATTCAAACGTCTGCGCATGTGCAAACGCTGTATCGACTGGGTGGCGTGCTTTCAGGCTGAAAGAACCAAGTTGTCTCAAACGAGTTACAAACAACCACACAGGCCAATAAGTCACCGTGTTTCAAAAGCCTAGAACATTTTGGTAAAGCTCAAAATGGAATGGTAAATCAACAGGATACCTGTACTTCAATAAGTTTTGTGTTCTCGAGTTTTCTTTTTGCCCACTTTTGTATCCCTTCATAGACTTCCTTGAACGTTTCAATTTTCTTTCGCATAGTTTGCGAGACGCGGTTGTTTCATATATTTCCCTTAAACGAATCTAAGAGATCCTCGCAGCTAAGAACACTACTGAACTAGAAGTTGGAAATAGGACCTGAAAAAAATTCAGGCCCGTACAGGATATGAACCCATGACCTCTGCGATACTGGTGCAGCGCTCTACCAACTGAGCTAACAAGCCAAATGGGAGCTGGTCAATATGTTGGGTCCAAATAAACCATCCAAGTGATTAATTATGATTTTAGATATAAGAAGTTCATATATTTGCACTGCGGTGAAGAAACGAATTTAAGAGATCCTCGCAGCTAACACTACTGAACTGGTAGTTGGAAATAGGCCCTGAAATAGGACCTTTTCAGGTCCTATTTCCTGCTACTACTAATATATGAAATTC